AGATAATCTTTTATTTCTAAACTTTTATATATAAAAGTTTAAAGACCTAATATAGAACACAGCATTTAAAAAACATTATCCCTTTGAGAATCTGATGCCAAAGCCCTGTTCCCCAGAATGCACCTCCACTCATTCATGCAGTATTTTGCATACAACTTCAGAGGGCTATAGAATCCAAACTGAAGGTCTGTTCTGGAAGAATTATGAGACAAATCCAAATTTGCTATTTTTAGAGGGGTTCATCTGCTTCTTTCCTCCACCCTTTCTCTAGTTCAGCCTCTAAAGACCAGAGAATTGCCAAAGAAATCTCTGAGGAAAGTACACTGAACTCCCTTGTAACTTCCTAGTGAGCATTCAGAAACCACTGTCAGTTCCAAGAGGTATTCCAGAGAAACTGCCAGCTGCTCAGGGAGGAGATGCTACTGACTGGCCCCAAGCATCACCCAGCCTTGCAGTACCAGCTCTGGGTGTTGGGAACCACTTACACATACAAAGCACACCTCCTTCTGTGTGTGGATGCATCTTTTAAAGTGAAAGTTGCTCAGGTGTATCCAACTCTTTGCAACCCCATGGAATATTCAGTCCATAGAATTCTCCAGGCCAGAATACTGGAGTAGGTAGCCTATCCCTTCTCCAGGGAATCTTCCCAACCCAGGGACTGAACCCAGGTCTCCTGCATTGCAGGCGGATTCTTTACTAGCTGAGCCACAAGGGAAGCCCAAGAATACTGGAGTGGGTAGCCTATCCCTTCTCCAGGGGATCTTCCTGACCCAGGAATTGAACCAGGGTCTCCTGCATTGCAGGCAGATTCTTTACCAACTGAGCTATCAAGGAAGCCTGGATGTATCTTTGGTTAGTATCTATACTAGAAACCACATGCAATCAATCACCTTGCAGTCTCCATTCTCCACTGCAAGCACATGATCTTGTTTGTGTTTTTAACCAGTCACAGTTGCCACTAGTCAAGGCAAACGTGTGCAAATGTGGAATGGGCAAAAAAGGGACATTTACATCAATTAATTTTAGCAGCATCTTTATTGCAACAAAGAACCTGTAATAAAATGCAACAAAACTAATGTTTCACTTTACATGATTAAAAGCCATGTAGCTGAAAATGAGAAAACCCATAAACTTACTGGAGTGAGACATGCAGTTCTTTTTATACAAGTCAATGCTTAAAACAGCAGGCACTTTATGTTCTAAAATTAAAGACCTGAACTCCAATTGTGCTGAATACAACATAAATTTGTATTTGGGTTATTTAAAAACAAACATACAAACACTACTTCTCTCTCTCTGTGAGGGACTTAAATGATTACCTAGAACTGTCTTTTGACAAAGTAAGAAAAAACTGGAGCCAGCACCTTGCACTAACATGCCTCCTATTTTAGGCTGCAAGATGGATAGGCGAGGTTGGGCTGTGGGAAGGTGAAAGTCAGAAAAGTCTCCTATGTCTGCTGGGAATGGACACTCAGCTTCCGTATCTTAGTTTAGATATGGCCATGTCGCTTTGCTTTCTTTAAATGGCTCTAATTTGGGTTCCTAGGCTTAAACAAGCACTTTATATCCCAAGCCCCAAACCTCCCACTACACCGAGGAAGACACGTTGAGTGTAACAATTTTAATTAACTTCAGAATGTCATATACTAATTAGAAGTACTGCTTCATTAATAAGCATGCTTAGCATTTACTTCAGAATGGAAAAATTAACCATTTTATGTTATCTTTAAAATGTTTCATAGGAATATATTAATAAATACTTCTTTAAAAATTTGCCTTTTCTACATATCATTTAACTATCATGAGTTGGAATATCTGGATGGAGCACTAAGGGTGGCCATGGGTGTACTTTCTCCTCTCTATATGGAGGTTCCTCCTCTAAAAAATGAGAACATCAGATTATATCAAAGATATAAGAGCTTGAAAGCTCTGTAATTCTATAATGAGAGGTCTCATAGGCATCATTCCACCTAAAGAGAGAACAATGTTACAGGGAGGTGGGACACACTTTTCTTTAAGAAATAAAACAAGTGAAAAGTAAGCATCAGCATCTATCACCTCATTCTTCTGAAAACCCTGCACGCGTTGTGACTTCTTCCTCTTACGTATGAGGCACTGGAACCGAGCCAGGAATAGCAAGAGGGAAAACCTTCATTAAAAAATTAATCTCCAGACCAAGGGGCGATACAGTTAATGATACCTTCTGCTTCTTTCAGAGTGAAAAAATGGCCAATAATTATTGTATGACGAGCTATCTTGACTATTGTTTTCGGTTCTTGAAAATCAGTCCAGTGTAAAAATCACCTATTATTTTCTTAATCCAACTCAGTCCTACTTCTTAAAATAGCCCCACAAATGACTTGCTTTAGAGTCACCTGGAACGCTTGCTAGGAACGCAGATTCCTGGTCTCCACTTAATCAACCAAACCCAAATTTCTAAGAGTGAGGTTCAAGAGTCTCACTGCTCAACACACAAGCAACCATACCTACCTGATGGTTGTTCAAGTGCACTCAGTGACCAAACCTGCAACACTCCCCCGTGGTGTTTAACCTAGAGCTCTTTGGCCCTCACTACAATTGTTGCTACACTCTTGCCTTTTAGTGTGTTGCCCGTACACAGGGTACAAATAGTTTTAGTGAGGTTTCTACAGATTGCCTGAATTGACTATGTTTTCCACATTGATTTTAAAAATCAAATTCAGTCAAGTTGTCTTTCTGCATGCAAATTCAGTCAGGTATTTCCCCCCTCTATAGAAGGAGAATGGCCTTTAAGTGACTGACAGGGAATGATAACAGAAACATTCCTTGTGATGGGAGGAAAGCAGATGGCAAGATGCAAAAGGAAAATACCTGTGAATCTGAGAGTCCATGAGGTTCCTTAAGGTTTGTTTTGGTAAAATACGAGATGTCATTTTGAAAACACAGCCATACTGGGTAAGCGGTTTCAAATGAACAGCTGTCTAAGAGCTACTGTATGCCATTTCTACTTTGCATATTATATAAGGATATATCCTCGGAGGCCAACTAGGTCCACAAACAAAAATCGTCTTCAGTAATCAGATACAAACTTTAGTCATGGGGGAAAATACTTTTTTGGGGAAGAATATTACCCAAATCAATTTAATTTAACATTGAAAAGAATATAAACATATCTCAGCATGGGAAAATATCATAAACAAGAAAATCAATACATATACAGTCATAGGGAAAAGTGTGGTATCTATAATACAGTATAAATACAAAAACAGCAAAACCCAATCCCCCTCCACGGACAGAACCACCAGGTCACCCTGCCATCTCTGGACCTCTCCCACCTCCCATGTGGCCCTCAAAGATGAAGTCCACATCTCAAGCACAGCTATCCTTACTAATGGAGGCTGTGCTCTCTAGGATAGGAATCTTTTCATTCTGTAATGGTGAGAGAGAGTAAAATTTTTTTCTTTTGGAACACTGTTTAGAAGTACTGATAACAACTTTCCAAACACTGAGGCTTGTGCTAAAAAGGGTCAAACTCTTGGGTGCCTTCTCTGACACTAGCTCCAATATAACCCAGCTAGCACCCTATGATTCTAAGATGACAGATCCCAATCAGCACCAATCAGCACTATGAGCTCCCTTAATAGTCAAGCGCTAGGGCTAAATCAGGAACATGTCATGACCATTCAAGAAATCGCTTATAAGCTTTGAACACTGAAAAAGAGAGTGAGTCATGGCTGGCTGGGGATCAGTTTATAGTAAAGAGGTTGTCTGGAAACCTCTGTATTTTAAGATCACACTATTTAAAGGATGCTCAAATAATTTATAAAGGTTAGAGAAAGTTTCAATTTGTAAGGCTTCCAAAATTAAGAAGAAAATAACCAAAAATGAGAATTAGAAATGTAAAAGTAACTGTAAGCAGCTTTTCTTCCCCTGAATAATGTTAGTCTGTAACTGTTGGCAAGAGAGTAATCTCTTAATTCTGGTTTCCTTAGCTAATATTCTAGGAGTTTAAATTTCAATTCTTACACTTCTTCATGAGTATTTTTGGTCAGATTATACTTCTGCTTAGTTAAGTAGTCCCTTGCCATTCTCCACACCCTGGTCTCCCCGACTCCACCAAAATTCCCTTCCATTGCCCTAAAACTCTGGAACATTTCAATGTGGAAATACCCAATGGAAATGGCACCACTAAATTTTCTGAAGAATATGAGTGAATGTGTATTTTTTTTCTTTTCCCAAAGGAAAAGGAACTGCCTGCAAATATTTAAGCTCTAATTATCTGGTTAAAATTTTCCTGCCTGTAATTATCAATATTATAATCATGCTACATATACAGTTACTTGCCTTTATGTGAAAAGAAAAACCCACTGGGTCATATCATCAAAGAGAACCATTTATACTAGATACAATTTAAATTGGCTAAAAACTGGTCAGAGTTTGAATGAAACAAAGTAAGTGTCTTTAGGAGGCCACTAACTTAACCTTGAACAATCATTAATGATTGGTTAAGTCATAGGTTTAATAGTGATTAGTTTATAACATGCTGGATACACCCCAAGCAATGAAGCAGAAGCTATTCAATTACATTTAAGTGCTATCAAATCTGTAACTAGTCAGAGATTCTGGAATTGAACCAAGCCAATCACTAATATCATCATATTTTAACAAACTCAGAAGTATACTGTAAAAATACACTAAGTCCATGAGGTTTCATAATGTTATTAAAAATGAAAATAAGGTAGCATGAATACATGGTGCTAATGTCTTATTTCCTTCAGTGATTCTCAAGGTATTGCTGGGTCCCTTAGAAATATGTGTCATTTAATTTTGTGTGTGTATGGTTAAGGTATTAGATTACTATCCACAAGCTGTAAACACCTGCATGGCACCAGATATACTTTCAGAAGTAGATGTTATGTGGCAAGTACCAAAATGTGATGATCAATTCTCTATTGATTAAATTTAAACTTCCTCATTTGGTTAAACAGCCAGTGTATACCAGAGTTCTACACAGGTCAAAATTATATCACTTTCAGAGCAGCAATACGTGATCCAAGGTTTTCTTGAAGGTAGTGCAAAAGATGCAGTTCATAATGTTCTCCAGATTCAGGAACTCTTATGCTGTGTCTCTCCTGAGGATAGATCTTAAAAAACAACAACAAAATCAAAATACAAAAAATAAGAACTTAGTATCTCCTTCCAAAGCTTTCCAGAGATTTTCAACAGGATTAATAACATGGAGTAGAGCTTCTCCAAGATACTGCATACACACCTCCAATGTAAAGGGCCCTCTCCTTTAATTTTTTTTAATATTATTAAAAAAAACTTTTTTGGCCACACCCCACGATGCACAGGCTCTTAGTTCCTGTCCAAGGTAGGAACCCACGCCCTCTGCACTGGAAGTGGGCGTCTCAGCCACCGACTGAACCACTGGGGAAGCCCCTCTTCTTTTTGTAATTCCCTGTGTACCACTAAGCTTACAGAAGGGGTCAATGGTTCTCCAAGTGTGGTTTGCAGACTCCTGGAGTCTTCAGAAACCCTTTCAAGGGATACACAGGGTCGAAACTACTTTCAGAACAAAACTAAGACATTAAAGAATAAGCCTTTATCCACTGTGTTGGCATCTGCACTGATAATGAAAGGCAATGGTGGACAAACTGCTGGTGCCTTAGCATGAGTCAAATCAGTGACATACACTTTAGTAAATAAGGGAAAACGCCAGCTTCATTTAAGTAGAAGTAAAATTTAGAATTTTATTAAATTGCAACCCTTGAGCAGAGGTCTTTTTATATTCTGTGGTGATAAAATGGGCAGAATGCATAATGCACTTCTACAGGATGTCTGAAGGAAAAGATTTGTACAACTGAGTTTTCTTTCTTTTATCTGTGCCTTGAGGCATGCAAGCTCTTAAGTCCCCAACCGGGGATCGAACCCACGCCCCCTGCACTGGAAGCGTGGCGTCTTAACCACTGGATTGCCAGGGTTTCTAAAACTGAGCTTATAAATGGAACTCTGTTTTCTCACTTGAAAAAAAGACATCTATGGTGATTCAGACTTGACTACTTGGCAAATATTTTCTCAAAAATAATGTGAGCTGGCTACTTCAACGTCAACATTGACAGCATTTGTTGCTAGTGATAAATTTCAAGATTTTAAGTGAAAATTAGAATTTTGGAAAACTTGCATCTACCACTACTATTCCATGAGTTTCCTAATACCTGGAAGACTTTACTGTTGGGATCAGTGGTAGTATTAATGTATGTGATTTTAAAAATATTGTGTGATGAAATGAGTCAACACTTAGAAGTGAACCAGTGTTTTCCAGATGACCAATGCATGGATAAAAGATGCATCTGAAGTACAAGATCCATCCAACAGACTATAAGAGAGCATGAAAAGTTTACAGATACGGCTTCAGATTCCGCACTATAACTAACCTTCAAGGAACTACCATTTGTCCAGTTTTAGTGTAGCAACAAAGAATAGCCATTATGATCTGAAAAAGCTAAAATATTACTCCCATTTCTTAGCTAGGTATTTTGTGAGGCCGAAATTTCTTCATCTACTTTAGCCAAAACAACATTTCACAACAGACTATACATGGAAGTAGATATGAGCATTGAGGTGTATTTCTTATTAAGCCAGATATTAAAGGGATTTACAAATATGTAAAACAATACTTTCTCAGTAAACTTTAAATTGTTTTTTGCCCATAAAAAAAATGTGATCTGTGCTAACATGTAATAATAGTTTATCATTGTTAACTAAATAAATATTTTAAGATTTTCTTAGTCAATATAACAGCAATACTCATAGACATAACTCACGTAAACAAAAACTTTTTGGTATATAAAAGGGTCCTGAGACCCTTGAAAACTGATGTTATAGCTAAATATCTTAGTTTACCTACATAAATGCCAACTGAAACATAAAAGAAGGAAAGTAATATTTTTCATTTCTTACGAGCATATAATCCATGCAAGGAGTAGAAACAAGGAAGAAAAGGAAGAACAGTTTCTCTTAAAAGCTTTTTTTTTTTTAAATAATGGAGCAATGGAGGTGGGTAACTTTTGGTTTCTGCCCCAGTGTCAATATAAAATAGAATAAAATTAAAAGACCATATATTCAGGTCCTAAAAATCCTTTACAACAATGAAATCAAGTAGCATTTCCTCACCCTTCCAAGGGGAAGAAGAAAAGCAAAGGAGGATAGTGAATGGACTCCTGTCATCTTGTCCACGATTACAAACTGAAAGCAGATACAGATACACAAGTCATGTAATCGGACAGGCCAATTTTCATCCTGACTTCAATAGAAACTTAACTTTTATCCAACTAGAGGCACTGCTAACTATGCCTATTATTTCAGTTCTCTTAAGCAGAGAGTGGCCACAGCTGAAAATTCAACTTCACTCCATCGTTTATTATATTCCAAAGTAACCAATCATGAATGATGACTATTTTAATCAGAAAATTAAAAGAACTCACCTGTAAATCATATGGCTTTCCAGCCCTCACTAAAAAACTCAGTAATATACTGGTGTGTGCAAAATGAACATTCTCATCCAAGAACCCATGTAAGAGTAGTAAACGATTTGGTCTGGAGAAATGGAAATATCAGAGGATGAGGTAAAACAGAGTATTTGGGAAAACTACTAAACTTGTTAAAACTAACCATAACCTACTACAATAACTTCCTTATACTGTAATGTTAGAATAAGGATTCAACATTTCAATATTAAATTAGTAATATATTAATCAGATGCTACATGTAATGAAAAAAAGTAAATCACGTGTTCAATTTCCTATTAAGATATTAGCATACATCAATAATTACAGCATGTCCCTAGAAAAAGAACAATCACATGTGGTCTTTGTAAAATATATGTAAGCAGCAACGGGATTTTCTCCACTGGGAAACAGCGGTGCTGTGCTGCGCTAAGTCGCTCAGTCGTGTCTGACTCTTTGCGACCCCATGGACTGTAGCCCGCCAGGCTCCTCTGTCCATGGACATTCTCTAGGCAAGGATACTGGAGTGGGTTGCCATGCCCTCCTCCAGGGAAACAGTGGTATACATAATTAATAAGCTTCTTTTAACACTTCAGCAATTGCTTCAAATATAACTTGCTAAAAAACCCAAATTATATGAACTGGCCTATAATTCAGCTTTAAGAAAACAGCCATGCCTTCTAGTAATCCATAAAATAATAGTTTTATTTTTGTCATATTTGTAGCTTTCCTTATTATTAAAGACAATCTTAAAAAATACAATTTTAAATTTATAATTTTAATTTTAAAGCTTGAACTTACTCAGAGGGGAATTTTTCTGCCTGCATGGCCACAGATCCTAAGTAATAGCCCTGTTCATTCTGGTCAGGGTGACCCATATAACGTTCCGTGTAGCCTGTATCATAGAAGATCCACAGAGTGACTGGGGCCCCAGCAATAGCAACCTACATAAGATAACAGTGACAGTCAAGTGTGGTTCAGAAAAGAATGGTTAACACTGAGAGTCTGTAACTGCAAATTTATAGGCTAAAATTATCTTTAGGCTTTAGCCTCACAATTATGGTCTCAGGCAACTCAGAAAATCAAAGGGGAATGCCAAGGTCAAGAACTTGATACTTAATGAGTCAGCTAGCTTCATGTTCCAGAGGTGCCACACACTAAATCCTTAACCTGGGCTGGATGAAACATAAACATGAGTCTCCATTAGAAGAGGAGGTGAACTAGAACATGTGAATGCCTCAGTGTAAGCTGAGGAAAAAAATATGGGACAAGTGTCAGTTTTACATAGGAAGAGCAGTCATTTTCTTCTTTTTTGTTTTTTTAGCTTCTGTTGGCAGTACAGAATTTAAAACAATGAATGAAATATATTTACGTACTAAACACTTGTCTCATTTTAAGGCTCCCACACAGTTTTATATTTAAATATTGTAATTACTTTCTTGACAACTGCAAGCCTGGAAAAATTATGGCAGTATTCAGAGTTCGTTTTGTGGTTATTATAAACAAAGATTATCTGAATATACAAAAACCCTATCACTTTTATTTCTAAAAATAAACAATTTCCACTGTAAAAATCATATTAATGAAATAAGAAAAATGCTACTCATTATTTCCATTTTCTTAACAGTTTTTAGCATCTTTTTTCTAACATATTTTTCTAAGAGGTTGTTTATAATGTTGTAATCACTGCTTATATATTTAGTAGTTTATTCATTTGGTACAGATTTACTTAGGACCTACTATGTGCCAAGCATTGTGCTTGGCTGCTGAGGATACAGTATAGGGCAGATAGATCCCTGCCCCCAGAGGTTGTAGCCCAATAATTAAACAAATAAGAACAACCCAATACGAATGTGGGTTTTACTAATCATGACTGTCTCCCGTAATATTTGGCATATGTCTGTTAATAGCTAATAACTGATCAAGCTGACAAGTATTTTATACAAATATATACAGATAAAGAAATATAAATATATATCCCACAAGTTGACAAGATAAGTCTATTATTTCTCATGGCTGTTAAACACACAAACCCTAACATTTCATAATACTGTCAACTTCAGAAAATTGGTTCTTTTCTTGTATCTCAATTTATAGAAAATTCTACCCTTACTGCAAAAGAAATACCATAGGAAATCACATACCCTGAAGATATCTGACCTCTGCATTAACGCCATTAGGGACAGGTATCCTCCATAGGACCAGCCATGGATGCCCACACGATCTAAGTCAATGAAATCATATTGAGAGGCTAGATACTGGAGTCCTTCCACTTGATCGTCAATTTCTATTTGACCCTGTCAAAAAAGGGAGACCATTTCACTGATTCTGATAAATAAAAATCTCATTATAAGAGTGTTTTGAAAGCTGGCAGAAGTTCTTACTAAAAACACCTGTGGTTTTTCATTTTTTAGAAAAGAACTTATTATTGATTGAGATTCTGTGGCTTGGAAAAAAATTTTTTAACTCTATTTAGAGATAGGAGTCTATAGCTTCTGTTGCTAGCCTGTCCTAGAGTTTAGTTATCCCTTAGTCACAAAGTTCTTTCCTACTGCAACCCAAAATGTCCTTTGTCGTATGGGTATTTCCCATTTCCATTTGTTCTGTTGTCTGCTAAGAGGTCAGCATCTTCCTTGTAACAAGCCTTCCTATACCCAAAGATGAAAAATTAGCCCCCTTAAGTGGATGACTAATTTTACTTCTCTTTAAACTGCAATAAAGTGGACGGAATCACTCTTAAGGTCTTGTCCTCCTCTTTCCCCATTATCTACCTCTAGGAATTGAACATACAATTTCTTTAAAGTCCTATATAGTCCTAATTCCTATCACCACCACCCTATCTGTATTACTAGGCCTGCCAGTGCACACAATCTCACTTCACTGAGCCAAAAACAAAAATAAAAACAAAAACTTACATGAGAATACAACATAAGGTCAAAGAACTGGCTGTGGGAGAAAATCCCCATGTCTTACTCAGCATGTCCAATACACTGGCAAACACAGTAACTGCCTTACTGTGCAAAAGGAACATCGGATTCTCATCATTTCCCAAAGCAGCAGAAAGGACATTGGGCATCTCTAAAAGGTAGCATTTAAAGCTTCCTGTAGAGAGAAAGAGGCTTGTCACAAGGAAGGCACTAACCAGTTGGTTTCTCTCTTCACAGAGGACAGAACAAATCTCAATTATTCCTCTTAATAGTGTACAGGATGCTGAAAACTAAATGTGATGCCTTCTGGCTAAACTGGACATAAAAAACAGAAAGAGAGGTGGTTTCTATGTAAAAGTGGCTCTATCTCAGCTCCACAAAGCTACATATGGGTAGGCTGGAATAGCCCAGTGAGCATCGGGCGGCACCTTCCCTCCCCCTGCAAACACAGGCTCACACGTGTGCACATGCACACCAACACACAGCCCCTTCCCCCGTTTCCGTCTCTGGGGTTTCACACCAAACAAAGCACCAAAAAATGCAAACGTCTTTAAAAGAGAAACGCTGGTACGCTCACACACCATTTTATACTTAAAGGCGCCTTCAAATTTAAGCCCTCGGTGACAGGACCCCCTGTTGTCTATCACCACAACCACATAGCCCAGAGAGGCCAGGGTGTTCAGTCGGAAGTACTTCACTCCTTTAAACCGATTATTCACCAACTGCACCTGAGGAAGAAGGACAACTTCAGTGAAATGTATTCTATGGTGGCACACAAAAGCAAATTAGAGAGGCAGGATGCTGCAAAAAACAGAAAGCTTACATTTTTAATATTATTTTGCCTATAAAATGAATTATTTTCTTGTGGCAAGAACACATAAAATGGACCCTCTTAAAAATTTAAGTGTACAATACTGTTTTGTTAATCATAGGACAATTTTGCACAGCAGATTTCTAGAACTTATTCATCTTGCATAATGCAGATTTTTTTAATGGTCACTGTTTAGTAACTCCCTCTTTCCCCTTCCCTGATATATTTTTAAATTAACTTAAATCTTTTCATGTTTATGTTATTTCTTTTCTTTCTTAACTTCACATGCAAAGTTCAGAGAGGATTAATGAACAATTACAGACTTCAAAATTATAATCTAGATATTAACTACTATAAGATAAATGATTTAGTCTATTCCATAAAAAAAGTTACTAAAATGATTACTTCTACCTTGAGAAAGAAATGCACCCTTCAAATGACGGAACAGGATCATTTTTTTTTCTCCCTACTTATATCTTCTGGGATTGTCTCTGACCGGTAGAGGGAAAACTTAAGTACTTTAATAAAATACTGTGACCAGTCAGCTTCCTTTTTCCTGTTACACAGATCAGTGCAAAAGGTAAGATAATTCTTAAAAAACTTTAGCACCCTAGAAACTATACTTCAAAATGACTGAGAAATTAAATGCAGTTTAGTGCTTCAACAGAAGTAAACTCTCCAGTGAAAAGAAGACTTTAACTAATGGGCAAAAAGCTACAGAAGTTCAAGGTTTTGGTGGACACTAAGAGCAAAGAGGAACTAAAGAGCCTCTTGATGAGGGTGAAGGAGGAGAGTATAAGAGCTGGCTTAAGATTAAATATTTAAAAAACTAAGATAATGGCATCCAGACCCATTACTGCATGGTAAATAGGAAGGGGAAAAGGTGGAAGTAGTGACAGATTTCCTCTTCTTGGGCTCCAAAATCACTGCAGACGGTGACCGCAGCCATGAAACCATAAGACAGTTGCTTCTTGGCAGGAAAGCTATGACAAACCTAGACAGCGTGTTGAAAAGCAGGGACATTACTCTGTCAACACAGGTCCATATAGTCAAGGCTATGGTCTTCCCAGGGGTCACGTACGATTGTGAGAGCTGGACCATAAAGAAGGTAGAATGCCAAAGAACTGATGCCTTCAACTGTGGTGCTGGAGAAGATCCTTGGACAGCAAGAGATCAAACCAATCTTTTGTTTTGCTTCGTTTCTTGGTGCCAGAACCTGGGACAAACCAGTCAATCTTAAGGAAGATCAACCCTGAATATTCAGTGGAAGGACTGAAGCTGAAGCTGAAGCTTCAGTATTCTGGCCATCTGACGAGAACAGATGACTCACTGGAAAAGTCCCTGATGCTGGGAAAGATTGAGGGCAGAAGGAGAAGAGGGCGTCAGAGGAAGAGACGACTGGAAGGCATCACCGATACAATGAACATGAACGTGGGCAAACTCCAGGAGATGGTGAGGGACAGGGAGGCCTGGCATGCTGTAATCCATGGGGTTGCAGAGTCAGACACAACTGGGGGACTGAACCGCAACAACAAAGACAGATAATAAACAAAAAATGGATTCTGGCAAAACTGAGAAAGCGTTCTCTGGTGGAAACAATTGGGAAAACCAAGTTAGTCAGGAATTAAAATAAGAATTGATGCTTTCTTCACTCAATAAACATCTACTGATCATTTACTGGGCTAGACTGGAGGTGGGCATGTACAAAAATCTTCCTTTTGAACTTCTGGATGTTTAGTTACCACTGTAACAACTGCCAAACAGGTCTTTCTGTTTCTATACTTGTCCTCCATACAGTCTATTCTCACAGTAACAGAACAATGTTTTAAAAATGTAAATCAGGTATGACTTTATATCTGGCTCCTTCTAATGGCAGGGCATTTAGATCAGAGTAAGATCTAAACTCCTTACCACTGCCATCGAGACCCTACATTACTTAGCCCTTGGCTATTTTCTCTCACCTCATTTCCCCCCCTTGAGCACTGTATTCTAGTCTTGCTACCAACTATATCGAGTTGGTTCTAACCCCAGGACCTTGAGACTTACTCTTCCATCAGTCTGGAATGCTCTTCCCTCAGCAATTTTAACATGGCTCATCCCTTCTCATCCTCTGCAACCTCGAGAGCTTCCTTGACCTTCCGATCAGAACCCTCATTTTAGTCACTTTGTTATTTTCCTTCTCAACAATTATTCATAACACTTCCATTATATGAAGTTACATAATTTATCTTATTTTCCTCATTAATCTTCATGAGGGTGGGACATTAGTCTGACTTGTTCATTGTGGTTATCCTCATTGCCTAGAATACTGCTTGGTACATAATAGGTGCTCAGTGACTATTTGCTGAATGAATGAATGAAAAATAGAGAATGGTTTTCCTTTCTACCTTGGGAAGAGGTGTTTGGTGGGCAAAGGTGCTTATTTTTAAAGGAAGGGAGCTGCAAAAAGAAGTAGTAAGCCTAGAAGAACACAAATGCGAACATGTAAGAAAATTAACTCACTTCTTTGCCTGCTGTAAATCACCGAAGATGGCCTCAGTTGCCTGATAAGAACATTTTCCCCCAGAGCCAGTATTTCTGCCTTTGCAGCCTCAAGGCCTGCTTCTTCTTAGAAGAAGGTACTTAAACACAATGCCCTTTAGCACCAAGAATTCAAAAGTTTTCTTCAGTATCAATTCTTTAAAACCTGTATTCTGCTATTTTAACCTCTCTTATGCATTTATGTTTGCAGAACAGTGTCCGACACATAGGAAGTATCATAAGTATTTGTTAAATAAACATTTTTAAACAACACTACTGTTATCAATAAAAAGTTTAAAGCAATAAGCCTTAACTTCAAATAATTATTTGTTGCTTTCCTTGGTTTCACTTATATCCTACTGCAGGCATTGCAAATTTAATCAGGAAGTAATTCCTTCCACATTATGAATTGAGACAATGTTCCTATTTAAAAAGACTCCCACTTTGATCTGAATACCTACCAAAGGAAGAAAAAAAAAAAAAAGACTTGGATCACTTTTAGGATTTAATCAAATTTTGCAAGGTTACTGTGTGCTAGTAGAAAGATCTGCTCTTACATTAAGGAGTCTCTCATAACTAATCAAAATTATTATCAAACACAAGAATGAATGATCTCCCAATGGGCTGAAGTGCCAACGGATTCTGTCACTCAAAGTCTTAGAGTGAAATCTCCCTGCAGACTGAATACCAGATTTTCCTGTGGGCTCACCAAATTTGAATGCATCCAAAAAACATGTTGAGAAACAAACAGCACTATTTTAGTGGTATTAAGTATATTCACACTGTTGTACAACCACCACCACTACTGCTTTCCAGAGCCTTTTCATCATGTCAAACAGAAACTTCAAATCTTTAAACAATAATTCCCTATCCCTCCCCCAGTCCCTGACAAGTTCTTTTCTACTTTCTATCTCTATGAATTTGCTTCTTCTGGGTATCTCACACCAGTGGAGTAATACAATATTTATCCTTTTGTGCCTGGCTTATTTCACTTAGCATAATGTCCTCAAGGTTCATCCATGTAGCATAAGTCAGAATTTCAACCTTTTTTAAGGCTGCATAATATTCCATTATATATCACATTTTGTTTACCCATTTGTCTATCAATGGACCCTGGGGTTGCTTCCATCTTTTGGCTATTATGAATGATGTTGCAATTGACACTGCATACTTGTAACTCAAACAAGTATCTGAGTCTCTGCTTTCAATTCTTCTGGGTATGTAGCCTGATGGAACTGCTGGATCAGATTGTAATTCTATGTATAAATTTTTTAAGTACTGCTATATTGTTTTTCACAGCAGCTGCATCATTTTACATTCCCATCTACACCCTCACCAACATTTATTATTTTCCTTTTTATTAAAAAAAAAAGAGCTATTCTAAAGGGTATGAAGTGCTATCTCATTGTGGTTTTGATTTGCATTTCCCTAATGATTAGTGACAATATCTTTTCATATGGCTTAGACTTTTTAAACTTAATTACTAATATAAGGGGGGATTCCCTGGTAGCTCAGATGGTAAAGTGTCTGCCTACAATGTGGGAGACCCAGGTTCAATCCCTGGGTCGGGAAGATCCCCTGGAGAAGGAAATGGCAACCCACTCCAGAACTCTTGCCTGGAAAATCCCATGGACTGAGGAGCTTGGCAGGCTCCAGTCCATGGGGTCACAGAGTCAGACACGACTGAGCAACTTCACTTCACTTCACTAATATAAGGAGTCCTTTAGTCTTAAAAATCTAGATAACCAGCTAGTTTTTATAGTATGTTTTTCACATATCTCATATATCATTTCTTCATTGGGAAGAAGAAACATCCTTCTTAAATAATAGAACATGTAAAGATTTTAAGAATGTCCTCTAATTTCTCTCTTGAATTTCTTTATATTATACCTTTTTTTAAGTTCACAAAGATCGGGCTTCCAAGTTTTTAAGAGAAGTTTCATTTAACTCTTTCATAATTTATGTGTAGATAACTACTGTGTAAATGCAAATCACGTTTTGTTTGTAAAACACATTAAACAATGGCAAAGTGATTTAAGTTGATATATGATCATCATTGCTGAGATGTTATGGCTTATGTAGCTACCTTTTATGTTTTGGATAACTTGACACCTAGATACACTTCCAGATCTGAATAACTGGATGTAACTATGAAATATGGTATTTTCTAGAGTTGTAATTGGACCTCCCTGATGCTACAGTAGATAAGAATCCATCTGCCAATGCAGGAGTCACAGGTTCAATCCCTGGTCTGGGAAGATCCCACATGCCATGGTGCAAGTCCATGTGCCACAACTCCTAAGCCTGTGCTCCAGAGCCCAGGAGCCGCGATTCCTGAAGCTGGGAAGCCCGTGCACCCAGACCTGTGCTCTGTGGCGAGAGGAGCCGTCACAGCGAGAAGCCTGCGCAACCGCAACAAAGAGGAGCCCCTGCTGGCCAGACCTACAGAAGGCCCGACTGCAGCAACAGAGACCCAGCACCATCAAAAATAAATTAACCTTAAAAAAGAGAGAGAGTTATATTAGGAAAAAATAGTGTACTTCTAACTTCTTTAGGGACTCAATGTGAGATATATAACCAAGATTAAACTTTAAAAAAAAATTACCAGTTAACCAACTAACCTACCCAAAACACTTTACTCTGATAGTAAAATTTCCTTAATATTCACATGCTAATATGAAAAAAGAAAATCAAGGTGTAAACTTGCAGTGCTGAAGAATAGTATATGGGGTATTAAGCTGCTTCAGTCATGTCTGACTCTTTGCGACCCCATGGACTGTAGCCCACCAGGCTCCTCTGCCCATGGGGTTCTCCAGGCAAGAGTACTAGAGTGGGTTGCCATGTCCTCTTCAAGGAGACCTCTCCAACCCAGGGGTCAAACTGCATGTCTTGGGTCTCCTGCATCGGCAGGCCGATGCTTTACCACTACTGCCACCTGGGAAGCCCCGGGTTTAAATTCTCGCTTCTCTATGTAAAAGCTGTGTGACATGTGGACTCCTGCCATTTAGCAGCTGCCTAGCTGCTGCTGCTAAGTCGCGTCAGTCGTGTCCGACTCTGTGCAACCCCACAGACGGCAGCCCACCAGGCTCCTCTGTCCCTGGGATTCTCCAGGCAAGAGTACTGGAGTGGGGTGCCATCTCCTTCTCCAGCAGCTGCCTTAACTAGCTGATATAAGTATTATGGCTTGCTTGAGAGATCTGGCCTTAGAATGAAGAGAGGGAATTCATTAGGATACCAAAGGTTTCAAAAATATCTGTTAAGACTCTTTTATAACCAAGACATTTAATTATTTAATATCATTTTCCAAACAAGTTCTCTACCTAGAATACAACATATTTACTAACCGACATGACTATCACATTCCCCATGACAGTTATAGTCCTCAGCGTGAATTAAGAAATTGACATTGAGGGAATTCCCGGGCATTCCGAGAAGGCAGTGGCACCCCACTCCAGCACTCTTGCCTGGAAAATCCCATGGACGGAGGAGCCTGGTAGGCTGCAGTCCATGGGGTCGCTAAGAGTTGGACGCGACTGAGCAACTTCACTTTCATGCACTGGAGAAGGAAATGGCAACCCACTCCAGTGTTCTTGCCTGGAGAATCCCAGGGACAGGGGAGCCTGGTGGGCTGCCGTCTATGGTATCGCACAGAGTCGGACACGACTGAAGCGACTTAGCAGCAGCCAGTGGTTAAGACTCCGCACTTTCACTGCCAAGGGCCCTGTTTCAATCCCTGGTTGGGGAACTAAGATCCCACAAGCAAAGCAGCATGGCCCCCAAAAAGAAAGTAACACTGATTTTCAAATTTGCTACCTAACAAAACCCAGCTTCCTAAACTCCTAAACTGGGTAATGAGGGCATAAGCCACAGTCAGTAATAGCAGAGGCTCAGCAATGCTCAAATCTTAAACTGATCAGACATTTAAATAACAAATTATCTAAAAAAAAAGAAAATAAAAACACATACACATATGTACATAAATATGCCTACCTGAGGACCACCATATATAAACAGCACAGTGGGGTATTTCTTTCCAGGTTGTAGATCATGAGGTTTGTACAGCATCCCATACAATGTAAATCCAGTAGTGCTTTCAAAAGAAAAAATTTCTGGAGGGGTATAGTCAGGAAGAGGACCTGGGAGGAGGTAATATATTCTGTAAAGTTCTTATGGGAGCTTGGCAATCTGAGAGCAAGGAAAAAATACCATAAACCCACTACCCTAATAACTATCCCTTCTTTAGATGATAAGCAAGAAATTAAACACAAATAGTTATATTTAAGAAAGGAAATCTAATGAACATATCAAATTATCTATTTCAGAAGCAGACACAAAGTATTATCAATAATCCTTGGAGCCCAGGAGGTATTTACATGTAGAACACAAATACTTTGCACTCAGCTTGTATAACTTATCGATGGTTAAGCCATATACCTGATGAGAAACTGAAAGCACGAATTAACTTAACTTGCTCAAAGCAGGTGCTCAAAAAACATTTCTTTATGATCATTAGAGAATAAGCCTAATCAGAACCCAGAAAAAAAAAAAAAAATCATGATCAGTGTTTGGTTTTACAAAGCCACACAGACTTCTCCTGAGTCTATGTATACTGGATGATGTTCCAGTCAAAGCAGAGATCAGCGTATTAGCAATTCTAATTGTGGACATCAGAACATACCCATACCTTGTGGTTTTGCACTAATTTCTTAACCCTTTAGGAGATATTTATGGGTGAAAATATCTAACAGAAAAAAGGATTTGGGTATAAAATGAGTTAAAGATATAAAATATTAGTCCACTGTTTAAGAAATCAAGCATTTTAAATTCAGGTAATCACAGTGCTCTTCACTCCCATATAAAATGAGGATTTATCTTTTATTAAGATGGCCATTGCAAGTGCTGGTAGAAGTTTAAGAAAGCTACCAGCTGGGTATTCCTTAAAGCTGCAGCTTCCCTGCTCAAGAGTATTACTAGTTCAGTCTGTGTGATGTTCAGTTGTTTACCTGGGAAATCATCCAAACATGTGAATAAATCACTTCCTAGCTGTTATCTTGATTATTTTAATCTTATTTTCAAAAAGGCCTTCCAGTTTGCTCCTGCCTGGAGTAGGAGGTAGCCAGCCTTATTTGATAATTGATAGACTAGGAGGGATGGGACCGATTAGTAGCCGGAGGACAGGCAGTGGTGAGAGGTGGAAGACTCTGTTCAGGAAAAGTGGACCTACGACACAGGAGTCGAGCACTAATGTACTAATCTTACTTAAGATCGGGTTCAGGAAAATGAGTACCTGCTGAATCCAAGATAGTGGCCCAGAATTCTTTTGTTTTGCAGGTTGGGTCACCGTCAGGACTTGCCAGCTTGTAAAGGGACACACAGTGTGGATTCTTCTGGTTACTATACTTACTTATAAAGAAGTCACAATGCTAGAGAAAGGAAAAACAATTATTTTTTCCCCCAGGGAAAAGTAAAAAAGGTTATCTGTTGCTAAATCTGCATTGATGCTACAACAGGAGTACGGTAACAGTCTGACCAATTATGTGCATATACAATGCTAAAGTTAAGGCTAAGGTTTTTATAGGTTGTTTCACTTTTCACGTTACTAAAAAGGAGTATTACAAGAACAGAGGTTTTTATATGACAGGAAACCCTTTTCAAACAGGGACTTAATACCCGGCTGATGCAGCAAGAATGTGAATAACCACGGTCAGTCAGCCTCGTCACCTCTCCAGGATTTACATAACTGACCACATACAGGTGATGTTCTAAAGGAGAGTCTTTGGTGCCTTCAAAATATACCAGCTTTCTGACTTCGTCAACCTGGATCTGTCAAAATAACAACATAAAATTCAGTGCTAGTATGACCTTGGTAAGACCAGTCAATTTTACTCAGAATCATTTGAGTCACACTCTGACTTGTGCCTCTCTTTAAAAGTTTGTCACTAATGTTAATAAGCTTGAGTTGGTTTTGTTCATGTCTTAATAGATCCTGTTCAGAAATTTAAAAGGACGCCCGAGTTACATGCTGCTGATAATTTTCAATATGGTAAAATATGTGCATTTCTTAAAATACAAAAATTATTTCATTACAACAACTACCCTTCACAGAGGAAAGTATCTGCATCACAGCTCAGGCCCACCATTCCTGCGCACCGCGAGTCCACTTTCAGCGTCCCGTCTGTGCCTCGGTGCGGCGGGAGCTCCTGCTTCTGTTAGTGCGGCAGCATCTCAGGCAGTGTTCTTTTTGCTCTTTTGTATAAATTTGCAAAAATGGTTTATCTATCGGGTCGGGGAATACTTCTACTCAATCACTCAATCAGTTTCAATACTGGCATAGTTTATAAATAAGTATGAAGGAAATCTTTTAAGTCTTCATTCAGAACACCAAAAAAACTGCAAGTACACTCACAGCTGAATTCACTTAATATTCCTCCCAAATTACAGTGAGATTCTAAATAAATGGCTTTTATTGTTCCTTTTCAAAATCTTCCAGCAGCCTACTCAAATAATGTTTAATAAAATTCAAACTTTTATACAGAAAACAAAGTAGAATTTCTAAAAGCAAATATTTTTAGATGCCACATTTTCTTCAAGAAGCTTCTTAATCATTGCAAACATTCTAGCATGCATGGATACAGAAATAAAGAGAAATGACATTAAGTACGGCCTATAAGACACAGACAGAAAGGATACAAAGGATAAGAGATGGCAGAACAAACTTTCATGAAGCTTCACAGGTATGTGTTAATCTGTGTAAAAGGTCAGGACTGGTTCTGCTCTTGATTTAGCAGTTAGAAGTCAGGCCTTTCAAAACTAAAAAATAGTTAACTCCTTATTCCTTTTTCTCTGTTTCCTGTAACAACTTTACAGGAAACACCCGAGGGTTTCAGAATCACGTGAACATCAGAATCACCTGAGGGACTTGTAAAACAGATTGCTGGATCTCACCTCCAGACAACTTTCTCGATTCAAGAGGTCTAGGGTGGGCCTAGTAGTTCTAAAGTTTCCAGGTGATATTGATCCTTTGTGGTCAAGAGAACATACTCTGAGAACCCTAAGTGGCTAACAGTCTTAAAAACCTCAAAGATTTACTCAATTACTGGCATTAAAAATCTTTGGGTGAACAGGTCAGCTGCAAAAGTAGAAAATGGAAAGAAAACTTCAAAAAAAAAAAAAAAAAGCAAGACTAGAGGGAAAATAGAAGAGTAAGAAAGAGAGACAAATATATCACATAAATAGGTGTGATAGAAAAGAACTGATACACATTATATAGCAAGTAATAGAAAGACACTTAGGTTGCCCAAATAAGGTTCAGCTTTGTATAATTCTGGGGTTTCCTTCAGTATTATCCAACCATTACACAGCATGAAGTTTATATTAGTGTAAATATACTTAACTTTACAGAACTTAAGAATTCCACTAACATCTGACAGTAACACTTAAAGATTCCCTAAACAGAAAAAATATACTGAGTATATAACCAGAAGGCCAACTGACATTGTCAGTGGAAATGAGACTTTAAAGGTCACCTATTATATTCTAAAGTTATCACCAACAAAAACAAGCCTGGGGCCTGTATCTTCATTCTTTCTCCTTAATCACTTAAGGAACTACGAGTGACTTCTATAGTAGCCAGTATACATAATTCTTTAATAAATTTCTGAATCAATTTGAGGAAATCAGAGGCCTTCACTAAATCCTGGTAGCATACCTCAACTTAACTTTATGGATCACACATATAACGGATGGAGCTCTTGGAGATCTCATGAAACTGACCATCTAACTGAAAGTTGAAACAAATACAAGGTACTATGAAAGGCAAAAGAAAAAAATTAGAATTCATTGAGTTGCTACAGCAAGCCATATGCCAACAGTGAAACAGAGCGTGGACATCCTCCCTTTCCTTATCACTCTATGCTCTGTATAAATGTCCAATATAATCTGCAAGTGTTATATGAAACTTTAAATGTGTGAGATAAGATAAACAGGCTAATGAAAGAGCATCACTGTCTCAGGAACTGTAAACGCACCAATGCAGAAACGACACAAGTAGTCTACAAGAGACTCAGAAATCATTTTCAAACTATATCCTCACTCACTTTTGCGAGACTCGGAAAGTATGGACCAGCCTTTTCCTTACTAAGATGCAACACTGCATCTGAAAATGGTGACATTTAGTAACCAGAACACATCTAATATCAGCGTTATTAAATGGGTGAGATTTAGAATTTAAACTAAGATTCTCCCTTTCCAACAGCTTGGTTCTTTGAGGCCCTAGCAGTATTTTGAAAATACTGGGGTCATGTGAAGTTGCACTGCTGATTTTCAGTACTGCATACACACAGCTGATGTTGACTAAACATATCAGTAGAATAAAAGAACATACATTAGATCCATGCCGGCCAAGAACTTCCCATTCACCACTGGTAATTGCTATTTCCTCTTTGATAGGACACTTGAAATCACCTAAAGATAAATATAATTATAATTCAGTACTTTATATCAGACTATAAGCAAATGAAACAATGAAAAACAGTATTCTAAACTCTCTTTTTCAAAAACGGAACACTAAAAAATTCAAAGTTATGTCTAGAATAATGAAAATCCTTTGGAACTAAAGAGAGGTGGTAGCTGCCCAACACTGAATGTACTAAATGCCACCGTTCATTCCAAACGTTCCCTTTAAAGAGGTTAATGTCATGTGAATTTCACCTCAACATAAAGTCTACAGTTAAAAAAAATTCCAAGTTATGAGTCTTCTTAATAGTAATGGAATGATCCATGTAGCTAAAGTTAAAGCAGCAAAATAGACTCTTATGGTAAAGACAGAAAAGAACTCAAAAGCACTTGCATTCCGAGACCTTTGGTTAGACAGACAAAAACAATCTAATGCATCAATGAGGCATTTCTTCTAGAAATGCAACAAACTACTTAAGCCAGAGAAGGAAAATTTTAATACAACTGTTTATTATTGCAAAAAACCACCACAGTAAATAACAACATGTTCCATTTATCTTTGTAAGATTCTGTCTTGGTAGATGAGGCTCTCTCAGTGGCGAAGGTTAAAAAAAAAAAAAAAAGAAAGAAACCCCTGCTCTCTGCCTAGCTGCTGCCAGCTCTGGCTCTGAAAATGATCACTGAGAATAGGCTGAGATGATATAGGATTTTAAGTAGGGTCCTACTCAAGTTAAAAAATAGACTCATTTTCTTTTTCTTAGATACAAAAATTTAACTTAGTACTTTAAATTTTATCACCAGTTAAAATAAGTATTATTCAATATATAACAAATACTAATTGTTACATATTATAGCCACTTACGGAAGAAAAGAGGAGGGAAGAGGAAAATAAAATGGACATCAAGGAAAAGGACGAAGATCTGGAGCAAGAAAGTCTACGTAAAAAGGAGGGAAATGGAAGGAGGCAGACAAGCGGACAGTCCAGAAGCAGACACCAAAGGGGCAGGGGCTAGGTGTTCTGAAAAGAGTGTCAGCTGAGGCGACAGCGCCTCTTATTCTTCAATAGGGGTATAAAATTTTAAGTTGTCTTTTAATCCATGTCCCAAGAATGTTGTTTTCGTGAATTACTATTCACAGCTCTTTGACCAGTCTTCATCTCTAAACTTTCTGGAATCTGTAAGTAGATTTAACGTCTAAACAACAGAGGAATAGGTAAGAGCAATTTCACACCAAGGGTAAAATTAAACTAAGGCTCTTAGGGAAGAAATCTCTATCTTGGATATACAAGATCTAGTCTGATTTAAAAGAAAAAAATTCATGCTAAGAGAAGGAGCAAGTCATAGGGAGTATTTACTCTGCTGTCCGAAATTGTAAGTCAGTGTTTCCCAAATAAGAATGATGTTAAAGGGTATATTGAGAAAAACAAATAATCCAATTAAAAAGTCCACAAAGGATTCAAATAGACATTTCTCTAAAGAGATACAAACTGGCTAAGTAATATGATGTTACTAAATACTAGGAAAATGCAAATCAAAAGCACAATGATATACCACTGCATATCCATTAGCATGGCTCTTACCAAAACCCCACCACAAAATAAAAACCAAAACAAAACAAACAAAAAAAGAACCACACCCAGAAAACAGCAAGGGTCAGCAAGGATGTAGAGAAACTGGAACTTCTGTGCACTTTCTAATAGGAATGTATTAAGGTGTATTAAGGTGCAGCTGCTATTGAAACAGTATGGTGGTTCCTCAAAAAACTTTAAAGAATTAAAATACCAAGCAATTTCACTTCTGAATATATACCCAAAAGAACTGAAAGCAGGATTTCAAACTGGTATTTGTCCACCCACGCTCCTTACAGCATTATTTATAACGGTCAAAAGGTAGAAGTAACCTCACTGTTAAAAGACAGATGAACAGGTAAACAAAATGTGTTTACACGTACAATGGAATATTGCTGCTGCTGCTGCTGCTAAGTCGCTTCAGTCGTGGCCGACTCTGTGAGACCCCATAGACGGCAGCCCACCAGGCTCTCCGTCCCTGGGATTCTCCAGGCAAGAACACTGGAGTGGGTTGCCATTTCCTTCTCCAAGGCGTGAAAGTGAAAAGTGAAAGAGAAGTCGCTCAGTCGTGTCCAACTCTTAGCAACCCCATGGACTGCAGCCCACCAGGCCCCTCTATCCATGGGATTTTCCAGGCAAGAGTACTGGAGTGCGTTGCCATTGCCTTCTCCGACAATGGAATATTATTCAACCTTAAAAAGGCAGGACATCTGACACTTTCTACAATCCGGACGAACCTTGAAGACACTATACTAAATGAAATAACTCAGTCATTAAAGGACACATACTGTGTGATTCAGAGGTAGCTAGAGCAGTCAAATTCATAAACATAGAAAGTGGCTGCCGGAGGCTGAGAGGAGGAAGGAATGAGAAGTTATTAATTATTTACCACTAAATTGGATATTACTTATTGGCAGAATCAGTTCTGGAAGATGAAAAAAATTCTGGAGATGGATGGTGGTGACGGTTGCAGAATAGTAGGGAAGTATACTTAATGTCATGAAACCACACACTTAAAATGGTAAATTTTGTTATGCATATTTTACCAGTTTTTAAAAACTGGCTATGTTGAGTCTGTTAAGTTATAAATGGCAGTAAAGTATATAACAGGACATCATTAAATGTCTAGTATTCTAAAACAAACTCTGTATTACTAAAGTAGAAAACCATAACTCAGTCTTTTTTAAAACACAGAAGTATTCAATGCACATTTTGTTTTTTCTAGGCTTACACATCCTCCTCTCAGCCCCCGGCAGCCACTTTCTATGTTTATGAATTTGACTGCTGTAGCTACCTCATATACATGCGATCACAGAGTATGTGTCCTTTAATGGCTGGGTTATTTCATTCAGCATAGTGTCTTCAAGGTTCGTCCGGACTGTAGAAAGTGTCAGATGTCCTGCCTTTTTAAGGTTGAATAATAGTCCATTGTATGTGTAAACACATTTTGTTTACCCATTCATCTGTTTTACATTTCCCAGAAGGAAACCCAACACTTTAAAAAAAGAAATTAATTTCAGCTGACATAATATTTAATTTTACTTTGGAAAACAATTATATCATATGAAGAGCTATACCTATAAATCAACTTCAGCGTAGGTGCAGATGGTATAAAAAAATCTAGTACAGTAAATCCGTGGCTGATTCATGTCAATGTATGTCAAAAACCACTACAATATTGTAAAGTAATTAGCCTCCAACTAATAAAAATAAATGGAAAAAAAAAAGTCTAGTACATACAAATATCTAATAACTTTGTAACATTTTAAAAGTAGCTTTTTAAATCTAAAAATTACATGAGCTCACTTGAAACAAAAAGTATATTCAAGGCAAAAACAGAAAGCAAAAATAAGTAATACCCAAATATTACCGAATATTAATAGCTTATTATGTATCCTTCAAAAACTTTGTCCTATGTTTATAAAGTACACAAAAGAGACTTTACATTGCCCTGACCCTCCCACCTTCTGCCTTTTTTTAATAGAAAATAACTTCTTACTTGGGGCAGGCAGCCCACCACTGGATCGTTTATATTTGCTCTCCTTTAAAATGGATGTGATTTTATATAAATGACGGAAACCTGTTTTGCATTCAGAGGCAAAAATAAATTCAATTTCATCTTCATGACTTTGGGGAAAAACATGAAAGATGTCATGGATCTGTAAAATAAATAGATTAATTTACTATATACATTAATGAGAATACTACGCAAACAATTTGACTAAGCCAGAGAGAAAGAATTTCTTGATAAACATTTTCTGAAATATAAGTAACTTGTCAGATTACGAGGTATGGTATATGTAACAATTACAGATTTTGCCTGGGCCTTTCATATTTATCTTGCTTTAGTCAAAGACATCATCTACTGAAAAATAAATGTTTCCAAATGGAGAAAAATGAAAAATAGAACCAAAAGCTGTTTCTTACCCACCATCTCTGCAATTCTTTGAAAAATGGCATGAAGTTTATTTAATGATATAAATCGTATTACAAGAATTACGAGAAAAAATGTTTTTCTACTTTTCTTTTCCAGAGAGAAATATTCTAACAATTCAAGGGAAAACAGATGTTATCTGTTAGGTGAATCACATGAAGCCTATATGCAGTCAGAGAGTGAACTGGCTTTATTTATTTTGTATCTTGTGTAAGTTTTTTCCATTAAATTAGAAAATGAAAAATTCAATCCAAAATTGGTATATTTTGGGATAGTTTACCAACTTAAAAGAGAAAGTCTTTTCTAGTCAGGATTCTCGTGGTCCTCTCAGAGGCACTGGAGAGGTTGTGTTTTGAATATCTGATGTGTCCAGAAACAAGGGCAATTCTGCATCCAGGGAGATGTCATTGCAATGGCATCGACCTTTCATCCACAAACCGCTCCCCATTTTGGAACCAACATTCCAGTTTGAAATGTTCAAACTAAGCAAATAACATTCAAAATTACTGTGAACTTAAAAAATTCCTTTTGATAGTTTGCTATCAAGCTTCATTTACTTTAACATTCTGAGAAAATATTTAAACCAAGTATTACAAGAAAACATGTATACATTTATCCAGATGTCTGTTGTTTCTTCATAGATAATCAGTGGTGTCACAGAGTCAGGCACTGACTCGATGAATCTCTGTCTTTCCATGGCATCATCTTCTACTGGGATAAATAATTCAGGTGAGATCAACACTATCTGTAGGCGAGTTTGAGACCGATCTAGTAGGATGGCCCACGCACTATTTAAATAAACAAAAGAAAAGCACAAAATAAAGCTCACTTTTGGAAAATAAATATTCCACTAATCTTTCCCCTAGCACCCATCAGTTATTTCTGTAACCACAGTGACAGTATTGCTTTAGTATATGTTAAATTATCACTTACAAACAGCTAATGAAAAGTATTAGTTTATTCTACACTTATTTTTTTAAATTTATTTTTAATTGAAGGATAATTAAAATATAGTATTGGTTTCTGCCTTACATCAACATCGATCAGCCATAGGTATACATATTGCACTTATTTTTTTAAAGTTAAGCTTGAGTAGAGGTTTTAAAAGTGGTTTTCTTTAAATTTCCAAAATCACAGATGGCCTTTGAAATTATTTTCTCCCTTTAATGCCAACAAATGCCAGCCCCATGAAAACTCTTTTGTCCACATCAGACACAGGAAATACATGTAATCATCTTCACATAAGGCTGTACAAATATTTCTGCTTAAATTATACAATTAAAAAAATATATATACTTACATATGAGCCTGAAAGTCCTACTTTAACCACAAATAACACTGTGAAACTCACTGGCTAAATAAGAGACAGAAATGAAATGCAATGCACCTATGCTTATAGGATTACAAGTGCACTTAGTTCAGGAAAAATTCTTTGTGTAGAACTAACTACATGGCAAATTTACATGTGAAAACAGCTCCAAAGGAAAGGAAGAGCCAGTAGCACAGACAGTTCTGGGTTCTAAATTATTTGTAAAGAAGTGACAATTTAACATACGCACTATTTTCCCTCTGGAGTCCATCCAGCTCTGGCAATATATTCAACTCCTTCAAACAGAATCTCAAAAGGCTGAATTAGTTCCTTATCTATGACATCTATAATCTATTAAAAAAGAAAAAAGGAATCTAGTTATAGAAGACTGATACTGGGTTACTTAAAGCACTATCTTTAACAGCGTGACACTTGTTCAGTCTTAGGTACACAGGATATAGCAAAACCAGCAGTAAGTCATGGGTTACCTTTACTGGTGTTCTTTATGTCTAAAAAAGTTCTAACTAAAAGAATCAGCATAGTCTAAAAGTTCTTTTCCATGAGTTTATACTAACAGAACTCTTGATTGTAACTGGTAAAATCAGATTTTAATTACTTTATAGACTCTAGTATCTAAGAAAAATAGTAGTCTCTAGTTCCTTACATTTTAGTTTAAAATACTAAATGTATAATAAATTAGTGACATGATCTTGAGTAAGCAAACTTTTTTCCCTAAATAGTCTGGCTAACACACTTTAAAATATACATTTCTAAAAATGAACAAAAGGATCTGAATAGATTGCTCTCCAAAGAAGACATACAAATGGCCAATAAGCACACGAAAAGATGCTCAATAACATTACTCATTAGAAAAATGTAAATCAAAACCACAATAAGATGCAACTTCAAATCTCCTAAGATGCCTATAAGACAAATAATAACCAGAGTTGATGAAGATGTGGAGAAGTTGGAAACCTCATACACTGCTGGTGGAAATATAAAATAGTGCAGCCACTGCAGAAACTGTTTGGAAGTTCCTCAAAAGGTTAAAACACAGAATTATAATATGACCCAACAATTCCACTCCTAGGTATCTAACCAAGAGAAATGAAAATGTATGACCGTACAAAAACTTGTACATCCACATTATTGGTAGCATTACGTTTAGAAACCAAAATTTGGAAGAACCCAAATGTCTAAAACTGATGAGTGGATAAATAAAACGTGGTATATATCCACACAACAGAGTATTTTTAGGTGATAAAAAGTAATGAAGTGCTGTTACTTGGTGCTACAGGATTAGTGCTTGAAAACAAGATGTTAAGTGAAAGAACAGACTAGATACTGTATGATTCCATTTATATGAAATGTCCAGAACAGGTAAATCCATAGACAGAAAATAGATTAGTGGCTGCCTAGGGCTGGGGGCATGGAGAGGTTTGGGGGTGATGACTAAGGGATGTGAATTTCCTTAGAAGTAAGGAAAATGTTCTAAAATTGACTGTGGTGATAGCTGCACAAATCTTGAGAATATACTAAAATATACTAAAAGCCATTTTAAACTTTAAATGAGTGAATTATATTGTATGTGAATTATACTTCAATAAAGCTGTTTTTAAAAAGTCTAGCAGAGAAGATTGTTTTTTTTTATGTCTACATTAAGCTTATAGGCATCTGACTATGGAAAGCAGCAGCATAAAAAACATGAGGGATATGTAACTTATCAGTCAATAAACACTATTTAAGAAATACTGATCTGGAGAATTAACAAAGGCAAAGAGGAAAAAATACTGGAAAGGAATGGTAAATATGCACCTCCCCATATTCCTAACTTGGGAACCAGTAAGAAAGTTTTCAAAGTAGAAAATGAGGTCAACCTGAAATCATGATCTACAGATGTCTCAGAAAGTTCCACAAGTCCAAAATATAAGAAAGCATATTTACAATCTCTGTTGACGGACAAAATGACACAAAAAGTTAACTCAGCATTTTACACTTACCCTTCCTTCAGCATCAATCAGTATTTCTGACATCTTAAAAGTGACTTTTGGATTTGCTGTGCCTTTAGGAAGAGATGTAAACAAACAATAATATAAAGCTATTCAAACTAATTTTACCAGATGAATCCTTTTTAGTCAAATAAGGAATATTGCATTTAGTCAGGGCTTTATTACATAAAAAACTCAAAATTCTATCTCAAATTCATAATTTTCAATATGACTATAAAAGGAGCCAAAAAACATCAGGAGTTGGTAGGTAATGAAGGGGAATCCTACATCATTTCACAACTGAAATGCTATAAATAGCAATATGGGGGGAAAAATTGCTAATTTATTAAGAACATAATCCCTTAAAAATCTTTTATTTTGTAGCAAAGATATTTCTTTATCCATTCCTTGAAATAATCAGTTTTGTGCACTTCCTTACCTTTGAAATAATTTAAAAGGATCAGCCTACAATTTAAAAAATTTACTTCAGAGACACTTAACAATCTATCCTTCGGTCTGTAAAGGATCAATGTTAACCAAACTTTTGAACGAATGCAAAAGAATCTTGTTTGAAAAGTAGGAATGAGTGTATATAAATGTCAATGGAATGTAGTACCTGTTTTAGGATAACGGAATGAATCTGCTCTCCTTGTTTCCAACATAGGGGATGTAACATGAATAATTTCCACCTCAGATTCATCATTTTCTTCATATAGAATTCTAAGAATTTTACTGCCACTGGGAGCTTAAAAGGAAATTAAATATTGAAAATTTGGGAGTATTATGCCAGAAAATCATCACCATTGACCATTTCCTCTAATATTCTATTTCCCATAGTAAAAAATAGTTTATGTATAAAATATACTGCCTTTTATGTATGAAAATACTACTAATCTTTGCAGTAGCAAGGTGAGTTACTGCTAATTCACTTTTATTGGTTAAAGGTTACTACTCTTGGAGATAAAAACTGAAGATCATCACACACACACACACATAAAATGGAAGAAACACACTTGTGAAGTATTTCAGTTCCTGCATATCTTAAAATGCATTCCTTTCAGGAATTATTACACTTACAATATTTTCTATAACAAAATAAATCCCACTTTAAAGGATTCCAGGTTTTTTTAAATGGTTTCTCTAATTCATATCATAATCTTGTTATAAGAACATAGTTATGGCAAAACATTTTACATCTTAAAATGTCCAAATCTAAGATATGGCTTAAATATAAATATTTTTCAGGGTCCCTTAGAGATGTGTTCAGAATGCTATGTGCAATCCATTAGTGGGTCATGAAATCTTTTAGTTGGTCATAATCAGCATTTAAAAAATAAGACAAGCAAAAAAAAATATGAGTGCATTATATATAAGATTAAGCATTGCTTCATGAAATTTGTTTTCAGCTTTATGTAGAATATACATACAATGTATTAGGCTAGAATGTAAAGCAAATTTCTAACCAGATCAGTCAAAAAGTTTGAAAGCTACTGCTTTAGAGAGCTGTTTCTCAGCTAGTGAAATACTTGTGAATTCACAAAGAAAAAGAAGGAATTTTTGCCTTTTTTTCCTGATCCATTCATATATTAATTTGGCCATCTGTTCATGCAGACTCTCTAGGCAATTTTATAGCAACTCCCACTAAAGGGTGGTATTTTTTATTTTGCTACCAGTGTTGCCACCAACCAGCTTCCAGATGAAAAACTGGCGGGACTTCCATGGTGGTCCAGTGGCTGAGACTGTGCTTCCAAGGCAGGGGGCATAGGTTTGACCCCTGATTGAGGAAGATCTCATATGCTGCATGGTGCAGCCAAAAAATTAAAAATGAAAGAAAAAAAATTAAAAAAAGAAAGGAAAAAAAAAAGAAAACCTGGCAAGGAGAGTTGAAGGACCTGGGGCACTGAACCATAATACAACTAATTGTTTTTTATGAGAATTCATTATGGTGATATACAGCCTGAATATTCACAGTAACTACTGGTAAGATCCAATCTTCACCACTTAAGAATCTACTATTCGGAATTAAGAATCTATGCAGTTAACTAACTGGTAGTTGAATCTCATAATACTTTAACTGACTTATAGTATATTATTTTGAACCTTCTTACTTGTTTCAGCTTCTGGACACCACCAATAACCAGAGTATCTATCAAATTCTTCTTGAAGAACAAAGGTAGCAACTCCGGCTGATCTGGGATCCTCTTCCATGTTGGCTAGCTCTAAACAAACACAAAGGCAAAATTTTCACAGAAGTTCTCATCTCTTCACAGGTACAAAGCAGAATGATCCATTTATTTTGAAAGGCAGCTACAGTATCATGGTGAACTGTGAAGCCAAATGGACTGAATTCAAATCTGGATTCCATCATCCACCAAATGACTGATCCTGGGCAAATCACCCAATCACATTCCGTTGCAGTGTCCCATTTGTAAATGGGAATAAGACCCTACCTTATATGGTTGTTATGAGGATTAAATGAGCTATTTTACATAAAGTACTTACAACAAAGCCTAAACTAAAATGTGTTTTTATTTTCCCATTTAGCTAGGACCCTGGGGAAAAGAATACATGTCTTTGCAGGGTCACGGTGACTTGTACACTCCTAACCCTATCAAGACATAGAATATTTCCATTCTCTTGTCCCTTCCCAGTCAATGTCCATTCCTGCCTCAGAAGCACCACTGATCTGATTTCTTTTTTTTTTTTTTAATATTTTTTAACATTTCCCACCTGCAACACAGGTAGTCTTGAGCTTCCCAGAATTATACAAATTCAAGCTAAAAATTAATCCGTCCATCAAAATAAAAACTGAGGCACTGCTTTAGTGAAAACAGAATTAATTCCTGAGTGTTGTTTTATGAGCAGTTGAGAAAGAAAAAAAATTCTGTAAAGTAATGAGATTTTGGGGGCCAAGGAGACATAGAATGAGTCTTCAAACATTTCTGTTCCCTGCCTTCCACTCTACACAGTCCTGGGAGGAGGTAAAGATCCCACAAGGGCTCATAGAGATTCTGATTCAATGCTGCCTCACTAATTATGCAGACTTTGGACAGGTCTTGGTAGGAGCTGTCTCCAAGCATATGTTTTTCCCTCCTTTGGTCACAGTTTCCATTCTAGATATTGAGATCCCTTGTTGGTTCAACCATCAGTAGACCTGGGGCAGGATGAAAAACCCAAGCCCCTCTGAAGATCTGTAATGATTTGTGTGTCTGCATTTGGAAAGATTCATGACCCGGAGGTGGGTGAGCATCAGCCAGAGGCTCAGAAGGATTCATCTTGGTAAATTGTTTCCAGCAGCTCTGGCAACTTAAAAGCGGCAACCCTGCCAGGCTGGGCGAAACAAGCTGTCCTCTCAGATGCAGAGGACAGATGACGAAGGGTCCAAGGAGGTTGGACGTTTAAGTTGAAGCAAGGTGGTGGGGATGAATAGAGATGGAAAACCAAGATAGATTTCTGCCTTATTGCATTCTTTGGAATTTTTTTTAAATTTAAATTTATTTTTGGGTGTGCTGGGTCTTCGTTGCTATGTGCAGACTTTCTCTAGTTGCGCTGAGCAGAGGCTAGCAGCAGTGCACAGGCTTCTCAGTGCAGTGGCTTCTCTGGTTGCGGAGCAAAGCTTCTACAGCATGGGCACTGTAGTTGTCGTGGAATGTGGGATCTTCCCAGACCAGGGAGCAAATGAACCTGTGTCCCCTGCACTGGCTGATGGATTCTTATCCACTGTACCACCAGTGAAGTCCTGGGTGGGACAGTAAGTCTTTTTCTTACTGAAAGCACAGCATGGTGGTCAGGTTCTGGGGCAAAGCATTTCCAGACCACTTCCGGTCATCATGTGGGGGAGCAAGAGGGTGGTACGGTGGGGATACCAGGTCCCTTTGGGTAATGGCCTCAAACTGGAAACAACCATAGTTTATGGCTGTTTAATCATTTAGTCAATCTCCATAAGGGACTGACAAATGATGATGAAACAATGCAGGCAAGTATGTGTTAAAACACAAGTATCTCCAAGGCACATTGAAGGGCATGGTGGAAGAATATTTTAAGTAACACTTAAAAACAGCAGGGACTTCCCCGTTGTGGTCCAGTGGTTAAGACTTTGCCAGTGTAGGGATGTGGGTTCAAACCCCGGTCAGGGAGCTTAAGATCCCATAGGCTTCACGACCAAAAATCTCTGCCCAGCAGCGCGCCCAGCACCAGGCTCAGCGCCCCGCACAGTGGCGCCACCGGCCCGGGGGCCGCGCCCTCGGAGCGCATCCTGCGTCCCGGTAGCTCAGGCCGCCCGCCGCCCGACCGGGGCGCAGCGCCTGCTCGCGGCCCCCGCCGGCTGTCCCATGCCCCGGGGCCACCCCAGGCAGCGAGTCGGCCGGCCGGGCTGTAGAGCCGGTGGTCGGGCCCTGCCGCTGCCGGGTGCAAGCCGCTGCAGCTCCGGATCCCGCGGCGGCTCGCGCTCTGGCCGGGACAACTTTTCTCCAGCCTCCCACTGATCTGATTTCTATCACCAAAGGTTAGTTTTACATATTCCAGACTTTCATGTAAGTGAAATCATACAGTATATACTTTATGCTTGTTACTGAGTGATAATCCATTGTATATCACAATTCTTTTATCCATTCATCTGTTAATGGACATTTAAATAGCTTCTAGTTGCTATAATGAATCAAGATGCTAAAATCATTCTTTTATTTTTCTGACATTAGTCACATTTATTGGGGTGTTCACAGAATTCAAGTTACCTCTCCATCTCAAAAACTTTGTGTGCAAGTACATATATTCTTGTATAGTTTCTACGAAACCTGATCTTACATACAAAACAGAAGTTTGATACATCAGTTTTAGCTAAGAATTTTATTTTCAATTCTGAAACTCACATTTGCTCAGAAAAAATTTATCTGAAGCAAACTAAGTATTTATTTTAAAATGTCATTTATCAATTTACAAAAATATAAGATTTTATCTTATTTGATGTTTAAAGTTTACTCTGCAGAAAAGGTTTCTGTGTTTTTCCCTGAGATTTCTGATTTTTCATTCAAGTTTTCTGATCAGTCAGGATACTGACAGAAGTTTGAATTATCCCCATGGAAACTCTGATATACAATGATAGGTTAAATATTTATATGTCTTCTGATATTTATTATATTCATAGGTTTCATCCAATTCTAACAGTTAGCTAAGCTATGTGCATTTAGCCAACAGACCAAAATCTCTAAGAGCTCAACAGAAATCATTCTTGTATAAAAATCTTTGGGAACATGTGTTTTCATTTCTTTGAATAAAAACCTAGGAGTGGAATGCTTGGGTAGTGTGATAATTTTATGTTTAAATTTATAAGAAACTGCCACATAGTTTTTCAAAGTATCTGTATTATTTTATACACTTACCAGCAATGTATGAAAATTCTTCTCCAATATTTGGTGTTCTAATGGGTGTATAGTGATATTTCACAGTGATTTTAATTTTATAGGTAAGTTTCAATGTATTATTTTTTCTTATCTATATTTTCTATATATTGCCTGAAAAGAATATGTAATATGAACCAACTGCCCCTTACCAAAAAATTTTGAGAAGGAAATGGCAAAAGAGTTGGATATCACTAGTGACTAAACAACAAATATTGGTTTCTATACACATATGTAAAAGAAAAGAAATTGGCACTCTTAACATAAATAAACTACTATATATAAAATATTAGATAACCCAAAAGGTCTTACTGTAAATCACAGGGAATTCTATTCAATATTGTGCAATAATCTAAATGGGAAAATCATTTGAAAAAGAATAGATATAACTGAATCACTGCAATACACCTAAAACTAACACAACACTGTAAGTCAACTATAATATAAAATAAAAATCAAGTTAGAAAACAACAACAAAATTTTGAGTCCAGAGTGTTCAAAACACAGAATCTGGGGAATTCTTTTCATGTTTATATATCAACACATAATTATGTCATATCTCCAGCAGGGTAATCAAATACCTTGGTAATCAAATACACTAATATTCTTACAGCAAATTTAGGAATAGGCAAACTAAGTAGGATTAAGACTATAAATATCCTCAGGTCAGTTCAGGTCACATCTTGCCACCAAAGAAGTTTTAGCACCAACTTAATCAAAACTAAGCTCCGTTTTCAGGGTTTCTGAATTTTGTTAATTAATGATGTAGCCATCAGTGCTCAGTTTTCTTGGATCGTTCAATGACTCCAAAGTTATACCTCCCATACTGTTTGATATTTTGTTCTCCTGTAGATGTGAGAATACGTATCACTCATTTATTATCTCTCTGTCACTTATTACGGGCGTCTCTGGTGATGGCCTCAATTACTAAGATTAATTAGATGAATAAATGGTATCACCTTGTTCTCCCAATAAGATATGTCCTTTGAGAATAGAGGTTGGTATTACATTAAGTTTCTCTCTTACACAAGGCGGAGAATAAGCAAATGCACATGCTGAGCGACTAATAAACCCATGCAAAAGAAGACTTTCACTTGGAAACTTACTGTGATAAGAGAAATAAAAGTGATGATGCTTACTCTCTACCTACTTTTCTAAATAAACAAATTAAACAGTACTTACTGTGTTTCAGACCCTGTCTAAAACACTTCGCAAATATTAAAACTTCAATAACAACCTTATGATGACATGCTATTCATTAACCTTTCTACAGATATTAAAACAAAGATAGGTTAAACAACTTACTCAAAGGAACAGAAGTAAAAAACAGTAGATGAGACTCAAACCTAGATACTCCAGTCCTAGACTGTATTTTTAACTACTACACTAACCCTGAAAATAAACAATATACCATATGCCTACATGCACAGAAAAGAAATGAATAAAAACAGTATTACAGTGGGCTTCCCTGGTGGCTCAGTGGTAAAGAATCTGCCTGCCAATGCAGGAGACACAGGCTCAATCCCCAGTCTGGGAAGATCCCATACGCCACGGAGCAGCTAAGCCTGCGGACCACAGCTACTGAGTCTGTGCTCTAGAGCCTGTGATCCCCAAATACGAGCCCATGTGCATCAACCACCGCAGCCCGCGTGCCCGCAGCCCTTGCTCTGCAACAGAAGAACCTCTGCACTAAGCAGCCTACACATGGCAACGAAGAGTAGCCCCCACTCACCGCAACTAGAGAAAAGCCTCCACAGCAACCAAGACCCAGCACCGCCAAACAGAAATAAAATTGTCACAAAGAAAAATGTCACACAAGAGAATCACCTCACAGATTGATAAAATAAATTCCAACACACACACACATCCAGCGCACACACACATCCAGCACACACACACATCCAGCAGGATTTCAGAGGTTTCTACTTTAAATTCTGCCCATTTTCACAATAATCCTTTATGGAAAACAATCCTACCAAAAGAAAAAATATACAGACTAAAAACATGCCTTATTTCTAACAGTCACTGTCAAAGCAGTCCCAGCCTCAAGCACAATAACTAGTACATAGTGAGTCTCTAATGTTTGTTGAAACCATGAACAAACGGCTAGGATTTGCATCCCAGATTTACTAACTACTAACCTAAACTTTGCTTTGCCAGTGGTAGCTGTCCTGATTTCCTGACTCCAGATGAAGACTCATTAAACACCAAAATATGGACATTTTACTTAAAAATTTCCCTACTCCACCCCCTTTTCTCTATTCTACACTCTAGTTTTAGGTTGTTAAGACCTGGGTATTTACAGTATTTACACTAGTTAAGCTCTGCCCTGTCTCTAGATGTGCACTTCTCAAATATAACTTTTACAAAGTATTCAGAACAATTTATCTACAATATGACTCTGACCACACTACTCAACTGCTAAAAACTTTTTCCAGTGAACCCCCCTATCATGATTGAAGGCCATATTCATTTACATAAGAAATAGTCCACCCTTCTCCTTGCCCGTATGTGTCAGCTTCACCCTTCTCTGTATCTGGACTCATACCGCATGCTTTGGGAGCGTAAGACTGCTTCTAATTCATACAGACTGTGGCGCCTTCTGCATCGAGGCCTTTCCAGGCTGTCCCCTTGCCTGGAGTGTACTGGCTAATGTACAGTCATTATTTGAGAGCAGTTCAAGTCTCATCTCTTCAGGTAACCTTCTAGGACCACTACCCTTGCCTGTACTCTTATAACGCCCAATGCTTGCTGTTTATCATTCTGTTTTGTTATCTCTCTATAAAGTTTCCTTTAGGGCCAGGATTATGTCTTATTCAATTCTGTATTCTTAGTTCCTGCCACATTGTCTGGCACACAGAAACTTGATATATCTTTGTTGACTGACAATGGTTACAACAGATTTCTTGACTTCTAATTCAGTGCTTTTTTAAATCAATGTAAGTTGTTCAGGAAAAGGCTTCTTCTATAACACTGACTATCCTAAAGATGAAAAAACTATTGCCAATACACTATCATGTTCTAAAATAATTTATTAAGGAAGATGCCCATGCCCAATAAATCAGTTTTGTGACCATCAAATTATGGGAAAGTTGGACACTAAGTTTTCAGAGGGACTGTCCTTCACCATGGAGCTTAACCTTAAGGTCTATTTCCATGTTAAAAAAAATACACCATTTCCCTTCTTTCATTTGTATAAAAACTTTAGAGGAAAAAGGAAAAAATCCACATCATTTCTGTGCTTTTAGTGAAAGTGGCTCAGTCATGTCTGAATCTTCACGACCCCATGGACTATACAGCCCAAGGAATTCTGTAGGCCAGAATACTGGAATAGGTAGCCTTTCCCTTCTCCAGGGGATCATCCTAACCCAGGGATCGAACCCAGGTCTCCTGCATTGCATGTGGATTCTTTACCAGCTGAGCCACAACGGAAGCCCTTTTAGTAGTGCTTAGCATGATTATAGTCACTTCAATAAAAATTAAATATTTCCACAACATAGAAAGGTTTATTTTTCCTATTATGACAAAATAACTAAGCAGGCTCTCCAAAAAGGGAAAATAAATTTTTAAGTAGTTCTTACAGTGTGTATTGAGTTTTTCTGTTTGTTTTCCTAAAAACAAGACTTTTTAAATTAAATTTTATTTCAATCAGAGAAGTGCTACTGTTGTGCTGTCCGAAAATAACCATTGAAACAAGCCAGCATTACAATGATTCTTTTTGTTTCTGTTATTTCATTTTTCGTGGTGGTAGAGGTAGTTCTTTCTCTTTCCCTATAGGAAATTTTATGTAATCTAATGTTCTGAGAAACTTGTATTTTTGTTGTTGTTGTTTAAGCTTCACTATCATCTTTTCTAAGGTTTACTGAGGTATAGTTGATATTATAAGTGCATGCATTGAATATATACTTGATTATTTTGGACATGTGAAGACACCTATAATATCAGCAAAATCAAGGCATTAAACATAGCCATCAACTTCAAAAAAAACAAGTAGCATTATATAGGTGATACATACAAGTTTATAAAAAAGTTGTATTTCTTTTTTAATTTTAAAGATTTAAATTTAAAATATAAAGATCACCCAGCATGTTTGATTTCAAAATGTAAACAAAAGCAAATTAAATTTTAAAAATACATTTTAGGAAAATTGATCTGAAGAACTTGAATTACCATTGTGCACATAAGTGAGCCTCCTTTCTTCTCTCGTTACAATGTTTGATATCCAAATATCATTGCTATGTATAAAAGCAATCCAGTCTGGATCAGCTGGGCATAGTTTTGGATCCATCCGAATGTTGGGACAACTAGTCTCCACTAAATTGGGCCGTAAGGGTTGTTGCTAGAAAAGTAAACAACATTTAAAGGCAAGTATCAGGCTTACACATATGTATTTACATACATATAATACTGGGTGTTTACCAGCACCTTTCCTATAAAATGAATAATAATCCCAAGTATAATATCAACTGTGATAACTGCTCTCCAGAAAACTGTACTTAACTTATTTGCCTTAAGTTATAAGAAATGAATCATTTTTTCCTATGAATTAATAAACTAAGCATAACAAGAACGGAAATAAAGACAATATAATAGCACCTCATAAATTTTGTTGACCAGACCTGTTAAATAGAGTAATTATCATTTGTTGTACACTTTTATTAAACTTACATGCCTATTTCACTTATTAAATGTTTCCATTTAATTTTACCAGTACAAAATAATTTGTTCATAAAACTGTAATGAAAGCTAGAAGCATCACAATTCTATCAGAAGAATAGTTCTAATATCAAATGAAAAACTGCCTGGAATAAAATCAAAATTTAAAATTATTTATTGAGATGAACTAAGCTTTTAGAAGAACCAAAAAGGGATTGTCTGTGATATCATTATCTTTGAAAATCCAACTTAGCAATTACAGAAAAAAATGGCACACGGATTCCCTTTACTAACTCTTCCTACGTAACAAGTGTTTCCAGTGTTTTAAAAATTATATAACTAATGTCACTGAAAAATTATTAAATAAAAATTGGAAATTAATACCCATATTTCCTATTTTCTTTACTACTAAGTTAGTGGTAAATAACTGGTAAGCAGAATTTTTTAGTTTAACTATCTTTCTGATTTGGACACAAATAATTTTAAGACACCTAACAGTTTATCAAGTAGTAAAATCAACTTACAGTAAATCCTTGTGGCCCTCCATCTTTTACATGGTAAATTCCACTACCAGCTTGAAATAGAAATGTTCCACTTCCTTGGTGATAATCATAAGAAGCAATTCCAACTGTTCCAATGCGTTTTCTTTCCCGTAATAGTTCTTCTTCTCGAGAATACATTCCATAGTCCAGTGTTGCCTAATGCAGAAAGAGAGAGGTCTTCTATTCCAGTTTTCTGAAAGCAGGCTTTTTGCTTTTATTAATAGCACTGAAATTCTTTTTTTTTTTTAGCACTGAAATTCTAGCATCAACAGTATTACTGAGTTTACATTTTGAGTGATCCCAAAATTTGTTACAACTTTAAACAGATTAATTTCGGGAAGTCTGCTGAAAAATTTGGTAAAAGGTCCCTAGATGAATACTGCATTCATTAAAGAGCAAGAGTTAAGCTCCATCACCTTGACTTGGCACTCAAGATCTCCTGCAACTTAAACATAACATAAGATCTCCTGCAACTTAAATATAACACAGCAGCTCTGCGTGCATTTAAGAGGAGACTCTGAAGTAGTTTAATTTTTTCAAAACTAGTTTTCTTTACTTTCAGAGCAGTAATAAACTACCTACTTCAGCACTGTGAAGATTACCTTAGATACAAGCATGTAAAATGTTTATTAGCACAATGACTGGGACAGAGCAAAGTTCTCAAACATCAGCTGTCATTAGTACCTTTCCACTACATTCGCTGCTGCTGCTGCTGCTAAGGTGCTTCAGTCGTGTCCGACTCTGCATGACCCCTTAGATGGCAGCCCACCAGGCTCCGCCGCCCCTGGGATTCTCCAGGCAAGAACACTGGAGTGGGCTGCCATTTCCTTCTCCAATGCGTGAGAGTGAAAAGTGAAAATGAAGTCGCTCAGTCGTGTCTGACTCTTCGCGACCCCACGGACTGCAGCCCACCAGGCTCCTCTGTCCTTGGGATTTTCCAGGCAAGAGTACTGGAGTGGGGTGCCATTGCCTTCTCCAGTAACACTACTCTAATAAAACCTCAGGTCAGGCCCATCGCATCACTGATGTGAAATCCAGTATGTGGTGTTCTGGCTCTTGGCCTTTGTTCCATTTGCCTTCACACCGAGAGGCCATTTTTCTTTCTATCCATCTGAGTTTTACTACTATCCCAAAACCTCAGCCCTAACTTAACTCTGGCCAGGAAAGCTTCCTGATATTTATATATGAGTTGCTATCTCTTTTACTCATTTGGCTATAGTTTTGTTTTTCACGTTCTTTCAGTAAATGAATTAAAAACAACCTTGAGAGCAGAATCTGGTCTTATTTTGTTTTCCCACCTAAAGCAACAGTTAAAATCTCCCTCAAAGAATATTTGTAATTAATGACTGATGATGATGAGGGGCCTTCCCAAACTAAAAGTATTGAGAGATATATATATGTAATTTCATATGTATAAGAAGACATATAAAGAAAACAAATTTAATAAGTGCTAGTTTAAAGAATTTATATACACATCTTCCCTAAGAGCTCTTTATGATAAATAAAGGGATAAATAAGGGAAAAAGACATGGTTTCTGCGATCAAGGAGTAATTACTTTATTTTATTTTATTTAGCCATGCCACAGCTTGCAGGATTTTAGTTTCCCAATCAAACTTTGGTCTCCCACAGTGGAAGCATGGAGTCCCAATCACTGGACCATCAGGGACGTCTCAAGGACTAATACTTTAAAAGTAGTCAAGTTTATATATCTGGAAAAACACATAATTTAAAAAGATACATGCACCCCAACATGCATTGCAGCACTATTTACAGTAGCCAGGACATGGAAGCAACCTAAATGTCCATCAACAGAAGAATAAACAAAAAAGATATGGTACATATGTACAACGGAATATCTCTCAGCCACAAAAAAGGATGAAATTATGCCATTTGCAGCAATATGAATGGACCCAGAGATTGCCACATTGAGTGAAGTCAAAGACAAATATCATATGATACTGCTTATATGTGGAATCTAAAAATAAATATAGATACCAATTAAGTGGGAGGAGGGATAAATTGGGAGATTGGGACTGACATATACAGACTATCATGTATAAAGTAGATAACTGATAAGGACCTACTCTATACCACAGGAAACTCACTCAATATTCTGTAATGGCCTATATGAGACAATAAGCTACAAAAGCATGCATATGTAAATGTATAACTGATTCACTCTGCTGTATACCTGAAACTAAGATAACACTGTAAGCCAACTACACTCTAACAAAAATTTAATAAAATAATCATATGGATTGAAATCTTTGTATTTTCCTCTCAACTTTATGGTAAGCCTAAAATTGCTTTAAAAAATCATTTTTAATGAAAAAAATAAATAAAAGTATAAATGCATAGCCAAATCTAGTAAACCATACACTTGAATACTTGCAATTTTTATATGGCAATTATACCTCAATAAACCTTTAAAAAGTGAAACCATATAAAGCACTAGATGAAAACATGGGTAAATTCTTTTATAACCTGAGTGTAGAAAAACTGTCCTATGACAGAAGACAAATTCTGGAAGCAATATCAAAAGGATACATTTTATCATACAAAAATCTTTCATGTGGTGTGTGAGCACATGCACACAGACACACACACACCATAAAGAAAGTAAAAACACAAATTACAACTTCATGAAAACATCTGAAACTATATCACAAAGGGTTAATATCTCCAGGAAATAAAAGGTTTCTAAAAATGAAAAAGAACGTTACATAAAAATGGTTTATAGATAAAAAGATGATCAATTCTGCATACAAAAGAATAGCAAATTAAACTACAGTTGGGATAGCATTTCTATCAGATTTGCAAAAAATCCAAATGTCTGACTACAAACTGTGTTGGAGAATCTATGGGAAAACAGGTACAATTATTCCTTGCTGATGGAAATTCATAATGGCACAACTCCTATGGAAGGAAATTTGATGCCTAGCAAAATTACAAAACCATGTACCAATTGGTCCAATGATTTCAGCTCTAGGAATCTAGTTTAAAGATACACTGGCAAAATGTAAAAAGTTGTATGCCCAAGCCATTTTACTGCAGTACTATTTATAATACAAAGATTGAAAGTAACTAAAATGTCCATCAAGAGGGAACTGGTTGAATATGATTTGTCTGTACAACACAACAGAGATGTAAAAACAAATAAAGCTTATGTATACGGCTTGCCCCTCAGTAACTAGTACCCAGATCAAAGTCTCTCAATACCACTTTTCTCTAAAGGAAGCAGACAGATATGGCTGATTCCAAGCATGGGAAAAGCAATGTGAAAGATGATCATGAAACATCGCCATACCACCAAGTAAGAGAACTACCAACTACTACCAGGATTGTGTCAAAACGATTTGTTATGTCAAGTTGACGGGAATTCTAACAGTCAAAAATAAGATAATTTGCACAATAAGAACAACAACTGTCAATGGATCAAAAGATACCAAACAGGCTTACACTGTAAGTTTGTAAGATATAAAAATGAAAACAAAATACCCCCCAAAACTCTTAATTTATCACACATAGAAGACTGTGTTTGAAAAATGGGAAATAAAGGAAAGAAACATCCTGCCTTTCTATTGTGAACTCCTCCTCAGGATAACTGAGTAATCGCTGAATAGCACTTTTCTCTTTATAGAAATCTCTCAGTTAATGAAGAAGGAATGATAAAAATCACTGTTTTATAATAGATCTAGGTAATGATCAAACAATGCTATCATCACAAGAAACTAAAGCTCTATATGACTTTTGATGGGGGCATACAACATTATCAATGAAGTATTCTTTACTTTTTTAACTGTTGTACAAAAATATATATATACATGTAAATACATATAACATATAATTTACCACCTTAACAAGTTTTTTAAGTGTACTGGTCAGTACTGTTAATTATATTCACATTGTTGTGCAACCCATCTCCAGAACTTCACCAGTTTGCAAAACTGAAACTCTATATCCATTAAACTTATTAAACAGCACCTCCTCACTTTTCTTTCCCTCAGTCCCTGGCAACTACCATTCTGGTAGTCTATTTGACTACTTTAGGCATCCCACATAAGTGGAGTCAAATAGCGTTTGTCCTTTCCTGATTGGCTTATTTCACTTATCATAATGTCTTCATGGTTCCTTGATGTTGTAGCATGTCATAATTTCTTTCCTTTTTAAGGTTGAATAATATTCTATCACATGTATATGCCAGACTTTGTTTATTCATTCATCTGTCCATGGACACTTTGGCTATTATGAATAATGCTGCTATGGACATGGTGTAGAATTATTTGTTCAAGACCTTGCTTTCAACTTTTTTGATCTGTAAACTATTTTTGGGTGGGGAGGGGAAGCAAACCTGTGTCTAATCAAGCTTCTAGATCTGACTACCTATTTCTATTTACAGAAAATACAGGAAACTGAAGAATGTATCAAATAACACCATAGGAATACAATCAGCAGACAGATCCTCTTTCTTCAATAGATAAACCGCAATGGGGAGAAAAGGACAGAAAGAAAATCAGAGGATTAAAAGTAAGAGAAACTTAAGAAACCTAACAATCAAATGTAACATATGAAACTTATTTCAACCCTATTTAACAAATCAAGTGTAAAAAAAGAGAGAACGTTTATCTAAAAATCAAGAAAATTTGAACATTTTATATGAAGAAATAAATGATCAATGATTTTTTTAAGATATGATGATACTGTGGTAATGTCTAAAAAGAATATTTATTCTTTAGAGACGTGATCTATTTAGGAGTGAAATGATATATTTGGGAACTCTTTCAAAATAATCTGAAAAGTGGGGGTGGGGATTGGTAAGGTTGTAATGAAACGCTGATGGCCAAGATGTGATCATAGTTAAAACTAGTTCACATGGGATTCTACTTTTGTATGGTTTGAAATTTTCCATAATAGGCCTCAAAAAAAAAAACACAAAAACCTCTGACTCACTAATTTACAACCTATTCCATGTGAAAACTACCATTATTTTAGTTCAACACACTGTTCTTAGAGAAAGAAATGTTTCTGCTTTAAAGAAAAGTCACAAACCAATGTGAAAAACAACATCCCTGATAAACAATTATAGTCAAAATGGTTAGCTGTCATGGAAGCTATTTTTTTTTTAATTCCTAAGAGAAATATCACATTTTGCTTCATTTAGCCAAAATATGCCATTCAATAATATTCAATGTAAAAATAATAAGTGAGAACCTAAAAGGCAAACAATTGTACCCAAACTATGATCTTGTTCTTATGATACTTTCGACCATTTACATTTTGTGTAAGGACAAAATATTGAAGGAAAAAAACTTAACCTTTGATTTTCCCTAAATCGAATCATGCTATTCAGAAACAAAAATTGGACTTTTTACCTTTATTTAATCTTTATGTTAGTACTGTTACTAAATTTTAGAACTACAAATTCAATTTAAAGATTTAAACAAAAGCTTTCAGGAAATATATATTACTTCTTTTATGTGAACAATTCTCTCCCAAAATGTGAGAACCATGTAACTAGCAAGTTTACAGAAGGGAAAGGTGGTTAAACAGGGAGAAGGTAGTTAAAAAAAAAATCTGGGAACTTTCCTGGTGGTCTAGTAGTTAAAGAGTCCGTGCTTCCGATGCAGGGGGTGTGCGTTTGATCCGAGGTAGGGGAACTAAGATCCTACACACTACACCACACTGGGTAGCCAAAAAGAAAACCTGAATTGTATTAATAACATCTAATATCCCTGGTCTCAGATATTGAAAATTAAATGAAATTTCAGGGTCATACATGGAAAAACATAAAAATGTTTTAATTCTTGTTTTTATATTATGGCTTATTGGTCTTTTAAAATTATTTTTTATTATTACTTTAACATATATCATAATTCCTTTTGATTCATATCTACTTCAAATATAAGATCCCAATTGAATTTCTGCCCCTAAATAAATGCAGTACTAAAAACATACACAAAATCATAATAATAACAACACTTAATCCTACCTGAAAAAGATCCAAAAGAGGCTTCCAAGACAGCATTAAGACTGCTGCTCTGTTGATGGTTTTGGGAATTTCAGAATAAAACAGTGTATTTTCTCTGTTCTCACCAGACATAGCTATAAAAGAAAACAATCATTTTTTGTTACTTTAAAAACTGGCAATGTTTCCTACAATCACAGTATTAAGTACACAATGCCTTTTACCTACTGCAGGATGCTGTACTCTGTGGGACCTATAACGCATATTAACAAGGCAGAGATGCGCATGCCATACGCCATGGCAATTTTCTTCAATAAAACCCAGGCTCCCAGAAAATATTCAAATTTTAGTCCTTCTCAAAGCAAACATAAAAAGTGTATAAGATGTTGTAAGGGTAAGTGTCATTTTTAGCTTTTTTTAAATTATTAAGTGTCTTACAAATTGGCAACAGACTTACTAGATTTCAAATGGGGGTGCTTTGTAACAACTTCAAATGATTAAGCTTCTTTTTCTGAATCATTTACAGTATTCATTTAGAGATATACTTAGGTCTAACTGAACTGGAGTTGTTCTTCATTATAAATATTCTATCACTATAATCACTAGTAAGTTTCAAATGAAAGGACATTCACAGTAAAAAAACACAGAATCTGATATCTGATCTGCTACAAGTCTCTATCCTTTATTCAGGAACTGTGAAAGAAACAGGTCTACACTGAGCAGAAGACGGGTCCATCCTGTGAAATCATATGCTAACTGAACGGGAAGACCACAGCAGTGTGGAATAAATTACATAACAGAGAGAAGTAACAGAAACACAACATGGTTATGAAGAGGTGAACCAAAGAAAACTCATAGTAAAATAAAGTCCTTCTACTCTACCAGAAAGGTATCACTTCCAAAAAAAAAGCTAGGGGAGAGTGAAAGAGAAAGTAAATAACACAGGAAGAACAAAAACTCTCTCTAGTGGAATAAATCTTCAGCCTGCGTTTCTGATAACAGCAGAGAAGGTAGTCTGTGGAAGGACATGCTAACTTCCATGCTAACCCTTGCAAGGACTGGGGATGAGTCCCCAAAGATCCACAGCTTCCTGTATTCCTTTATTATCCTAAATTTTACTTAAACCTTTCTTAGTCTGTCTTGCCTTTTAGAGCAAAAAGTTAGTTATCAGCCAATACTTATTTTGGCATTTGTGGGAATGTTAGTTGCTCAATTGTGTCTGACTCTTCTGTGACCCCAGGACTGTGGCCTGCTAGGCTCCTCTGACCATGGGACTCTCCAGGCAAGAATACTGGAGTGGGTTGCCACTTCCTTCTCCATGGGATCTTCCCAACCCAGCACTTAGTTTTGCCTTAAATCTACTTTGCACATTCCAGAGTTACTTTGTTACATATTTCTTAAGACAGTAGCCCCCTATTCATACTATTCATAATCTTACAAAATATGATCATATCCTCTTTAAGCCTTTCCTTTCTAACAGTTTTCAGTATGCAACTAGGATAAAGCTGGTTCTCATCTATCCTCCGGAGCAGGCAATGGCACCCCACTCCTGTACTCTTGCCTGGAAAATCCCATGGATGGAGGAGCCTGGTAGGCTGCAGTCCATGGGGTGGCAAAGAGTCAGACACGACTGAGCGACTTAACTTTCACTTTTCACTTTCATGCCTTGGAGGAGGAAATGGCAACCCACTCCAGTATTCTTGCCTGGAAAATCCCAGGGACGGGGGAGCCTGGTGGGCTGCCGTCTAGGGGGTCGCACAGAGTCGGACACGACTGAAGTGACTTAGCAGCAGCAGCGGCAGCAGCAGCAGCATCTATCCTCAAGTGAGAGTCATTTCCCACAATCCCTTCACGTTCCCCTCTTGAAACTGCTACTGTTTCATGTCTTCCAGGATTCAACCAAGACCAATAAAAATTTCTAAAGTGCACACACTGCAGTTCTGTGTAATACAGAATGACTTTTTCCCATTGTTTCTTCCTTATTGACACAACAGTATTTACTGGTGTCTGAAGTATATTAATTTTTTTGAAACAAACTCATATGGAAAAAATTAATATTCAGGTAGATATAAAACACTTGAGCAAATAAAATGGCATACAACTTTATTGAAAAGCTCATTATTTCAAAGAGGACTTCTCTGGTGGTCCAGTGGTTAAGAATCAGCCTGCCAGTGCAGAGGACACGGTTTCGATCTGTGGTCCAGAAAGATTCCACATATCACAGGGCAACTAAACACATGCATCGCACCGCGGAACCCACGAGTGGCAGCTGCTGACGCCTCGAGCACTCGTCTGGGCTCCGCACAAGAGGAGTCACTGCAATGAGAAGCCTGAGCACACCAACCAAGAGGAATAACCCCCGCTCACTGCAACTAGAGGAAGCCCAGAAATCATGACCCAGCACAGCCAGAAATAAATAGATTTTTAAAGGCTGTCCATTTTCCTAACTTCATCCATAAATATAATGCAATCCTAACACAGTTTTAAGTAGGATTGAGAGAAAGGCGCTTTAAGCTCATTTAAAGTTCTCACAGAAAAACAAGCAAACAAAAATAATCAGGACAAATATGAAAAGGAGTAATGAAAAGTACTGTTTGTTTACTATCAAACAGTAAAACATCTAAATTTATAGTGATAACAGTAAGAGCAGCACAGTATTGGCACTTGATTTGACAGATGGATCAATAGAGCAAAACAAAGTCCAAAGTACATAAAGATTAAAAAAAATACAATCTGGAGTTGAGACGGCCTTTCTAGATGTCTAGGTGGGATACAAAACTACGTAAGAAGTAAAAATTTAACTACCAAAAAAAAAAAAAAACACCCCACAAATCTCTACAAAAGGGCAAAAGGCACCAAAGGCAAAAAACATTCAACTTCAGGGAAAAACATCACAATGGATTAATTCCCTCACTGTACAAAAAAATGCTTTAGGTTGACAAGAAAAGTACCCACAACCCAGTAAAAAATCGACAGTGATTACAAACAGATCAGTCACAGGAAAAAAACACAAATGCCCTTTAAATATGTGAAAGGATGCTCAACTTCACTCATAGGAGAAATACGAATTAAAACTACAATGAAACATGGAGCTATAATGTACAGCACGATGCCTATAATTAATAATACCATATTGCATATTTGAAAGTTGCTAAGAGAATAAGTCGTAATAGTTCTTATCATAAGGAAAAAATTTTTTTTATTAACTGTATGTGACAGATGTTAATTCAACTTACTGTAATGGTCATTTCACAATGTATACAAATATTGAATCATTATGTTGTACACATGAAACTAATATTTCAATTATACTTCGATTAAAAAAATAAGAAATTAAAAAAATTACAGTGAGGGATTGCTGTTCACCAATTAGATTGGGAAAGATAAAAGTTTGCTCACTCACTATTGGTACAGGTAGAGAAATACATACTCTGAGACAATGCTGACAGGGATATAAACTCTACAACCTCCATGGAGGGGTAATTTGGCAATATCAATAAGAATCAGAACCTGTACACCTTTTGTCCTAGTAATTCCACTGTGCAATTACTCCTAGTAAGTAAATTCACCCATGTACAAAATGATCTACAGTGATATTTGCTGCCTCATTTTTTGAAATACCAATAGAAAGACCAAAATGTCCATTATTAGGGGTCTGAGTCGGGCTTCCCTGGTGACTCAGAGGTTAAAGCGCCGGCCCGCAATGCGGGAGACCTGGGTTCAATCCCTGGGTCGGGAAGACTCCCTGGAGAAGGAAATGGCAACCCACTCCAGTACTCTTGCCTGGAGAATCCCATGGACAGAGGAGCCTGGTGGGCTACAGTCCATGGGGTCGCAAAGAGTCGGACACAACTGACTGACTTCACTTTCACTTTCAAAGTAAAATATGGCACAATTATATAATGGAATACTCTGAAATTGCTTTAAAAAAAATCTATAATTACTAATGTGGACTCATGCAAAGAATATCTCTTTAAAAAAAAAAAACGGTTTTGGAGGAGGGCAGGAGACCTATTTTTAAAAACTTAGTTAACAAAGGCACATCAGGAGGTCAGTGCCCTCAGACTCACCTCAGCCCTTCCTTTCCCACCCACCTCTTAGCTGTGGGGTTTACTTGGGTGGGGGGGGGGTGCTCTGTTCCTTCAGAGTTCTCATCACTCACATTCTTTTCTTTCTCACTCTACCAACCAACACCAACCAAACATCCATTCCCTCAGGCTGTGGCTTAGGAAAATAAAATAGCATAGCACAACTACATGAAGGAACTCCAAAATTTATGGGCTTGGGATCCCATTTCAACTACTGTACTAGGGGTGAAATCCCTTTTGGTAAGCACTTTTAATGGTAATTCATAAACATTTTTGTGAGACATTTGTTTACAGTTAAGAATTACAGACAGTATGGCTAAAATTTTTAAATACTATACAAAATATAAGGCCTTCTCCCCTAATTTTGCCCAAACTCTCTTCCAACCAAATTGCCTGATTTAGCAATTATGGATGAGCTTTTCTTATAATGCTTCTCCAATCAAAGGAAAGTCTGATTTTCTGCTTCCAATAAAGCCGCAGCATAAGTTTCTTGAGAAAGATATACATGTATTTCCTACTCAGATGACTTGGGCTTCCCTTGTGGCTCAGATGGTAAAGAATCTGCCTGCAATGCAAGAGACAGGGGTTCGATCCTTGGGTTGGGAAAATCCCCTGGAAAAGGGAATGGCTACCCACACCAGTATTCTTGGGCTTTAGCCCGTGGGATCACAAAAACCAGGCATGACTGAAAGACTTTCACTCAGACGACTTACCTAAATATTTCAGCACCATCTCTCAATAAATGTATTCAATGACTGACAATGAATGAATGAAAGGGCTCTTGGGACTTAAGCTAATAATAGTACAAATAATAATTACCAGTTGGTGAATACCAGGTAGCATACTGTAATTTACAACTATTATTTCTTTTTTTTTAATGTAATTTTTACAACTGTTATTTCTAATCCTAAAAACTAACACTGTAGTGCAGACAACTGCTTGGGAGATTGCATAACAAAAAATTTTAGTTTCTTTTCCTTTTTAGTTTTCTTCTTCAGACTAGCCGTAGTAAAATTTGTTTTGGTTGTACAAGAACAGTATTGTGTTTATTAACATTTGTTTAAATTGGGGTTGGCCAAAAAGTTCATTCAGGTTTTTCCATTTGAGCATACAAAAACCCGAACAAACTTTTTGGCCAACTCAACACTTAAGACACTCCTATGAGATAGGTATTAACCCTTGTCTGACAGATAAGGAAACTGAGACCCACAGGGTCAGTAAGTCAGCCATGGAGCTGATACCAGAGCCTGGGCTTCTGACGCCAAGGTCGCCTCCTTACCCACTGCCTGCGTCTCTGGATGTGACGGATCAGTCATTTCTCTCAGTGCTGTGCTCCGCTTAGTCGCTCAGTTGTGTACGATTCTTTGCAACCCCGTGGACTGCAGCCCACCAGGCTCCTCTGTCCTTGGGGATTCTCCAGGCAAGAATACTGAAGTGGGTAGCCTACCCCTTCTCCAGGGGGATGTTTCCAACCCAGGAATCGAACCAGGGTCTCCTGCATGGCAGGCAGATTCTTTAGCAGCTGCGCTATCAGCTGTGCCTAAGCAAGCTTGGTGATGTCTTTACTACCTATTCCTTTCACCACAACATCTTAGTAAAGCATTTAAGGTGTATAAACAAAAAAGAAACCTAAAAAGTCAATCAGTGATACAATATACTTAATGTCGACAGATCTTAAATCTGGACTGAATGGGCTCAGGAAGAAGAGACCAAGACCAGCCTTGATTTTAAAAAATGAAAGCAGCAGCTGTTGAGAGTGGGAACAAACTACTGGTTTTATTATTTGTTTTTATTATTTATTATTTCCACCATTCCTAAAGAATCTGACCATTCTGAAGGAAAGTCATTTTAAATTAGCTTTAGGAAGAAGTAATATCTGGCATCTTTACTTTGAAAGTAAGATCATGATCAACTGATGATTTATTATCAACAAATAAAAACAAAATTAATGGGACAAAAAATTAAAACTGCCAAAACTGAAGTTCTTCAAATTGTTTTTTTCTCTTCAGTGGAACCATCACTGATTCACTTATTTATTCATCAAAATTTGAGTGCCAGTTGCGTCAAGCCTCTAATTTTCAATTAAGAAAGAATTTCCTTTCAGAAACTATGACTTCATACTCACCAAGGTAATAGATCCTGTCCGAATGAGGCCCATCTGGGTCATTCCTCTTCACAAACATAAAATCATGTGGTGCCTTAGCCATCATGTAGCCATGATATTTTCTGGTATCAGCAAGCAGCTTTTTAAGCTGACTCCAGGAATATCGCTCGACATAAAATGGCTCCAATTTAGGCCGATCCTGTGATTCAATATTCTCCTCACACTCTGCGGTTTCAAAGATCTCAACACCCAGCTGTTCTGTTTCCATCGCTGCTGCCATGTTGCATTTTCCTAAAATAAATAAATAAATAAGCCACATGAAGTTCACAGGTCTGTCCCCTCTTACTAGTTAATCAGGATGACAGCCTGATTAGGGTCCCCCTACCACCCAAAAAGAGGGAAAAAATGCTTTTCAGTACAGTTGCAATGAAACTTAGTAAGAAAAGCAGTAGCTCCCCTTTCTCTGTGTTCAGTTTGAAACTGAGATTTAAAAAAAAATTGAGGTCATGTCTATTTCACAGTGACTATAAATCTCTTTGGGAACTTTTAAAAGGCTCTCCTTAGGTATCTCTTGCCAAAATTCCTTCTTCTTTCCCACACTGGAAGGAAACAGGCCATATGCAAATTGGCTGCTATGTTCCTTCAAAGAGCATGTCAATAGTGAAGCTAAATGTGCCAAGGGAGTTAAGTGTTTTTGCACTTTAAAAAAGTAATAGATTTGATAAATCGTGGACTTCTTCAGCTAACAGAAATAATCACAACCAATTAGAACACTAATAAACTTGTTGCAAAATAAGTACTTGTAATATCTTCCTGGAGCATTTACCCAAGATAATATAGTTTCCTTTTAAATGGGAACTCCAAACACCAAAAGACCTAACTGGTTGGTCCATTTTCCTAGATAGCACTATTTTACCATCCCTTGTGTAACTTTATACTCTTATTACAGATTACACAACTTTTACTCTCATGGTTAAATAAGAGAAGAAAGTGGCTTTAGTTGTAATTTATGCAGAAAACATTTAATGTTTGTACTATCAATATTTTGACAGAAGTCTGAACCCAGTTTACCAGTTCAACCCCAAAACAATATTAACACTTCATCTACTAATGATGTTTCTCTCATTTTACAAATCCAGAAGATTTTCTTCTCTATCCAGGTCAATATTTAGATGTAACAGGTGCAAAGTATCAGAGAAAATAACGAGAAGTGTTATTATAAGCCACTGTTAAGATATTCTGACATGCATTATTTATAACACTACCAAAAAGGAGCAACATAAAAATTTGGGGCAACCTGCTCTTTTTGAACTAATAAATGCCAAAAACATAAGGACCTGGGAGATAAACTACACTGCATTTGTGTAACCAATTCACATAATTATTAACCACTTCTACAACAAAAGTCAATACACAGCTGTAAATTTAACATCTTTTTTAAGGTTTAATTTCACAGGTTAACAGGAGTTCATGGTAAAAAACGACCAAACCACAGAGAAAAAGAGTAGCAGGTGTAGGCTGTGAATTACTCCATCAATGGTGGGTGGTGAAATGAACAGAACTGGATGGCTAGGATACTGTGTCTTTTTTCAAGTTACGGTGAATTACACTGTCATTTTCAATATAACAGTAGCAAAAGCAGTCAGAAAACCTATTTCGAGAGTTTTATAGGTATACAACTTGGAACATTATTACAACTGGGCATTTACCTCCAATGATTAAAATCCACACAGCTCAACAGAAAAGTCATTCAGCTCAGCTGACACTCAGCACACTGATGTTAAGCAGCAGTATATGACAGCAGTGGCTGTTTGCCCATCTAAAAGCTGGTGGAGGTCTGTTTTCTATCAAATATATAAATGGATCTAGTTTGATTCCTACGAGTGTGAGGGACAGGTTAAACAAGGAGATATACAAACCGGGCTCATTCTTGTCCACTCCTTGTGTTAAATTTGGAACTTCATCTCCAAACCACTGCTTTAAACAATAGAGCATAGGGATGGAACAGGGAAGCTCAGCAGACAGACTTCCCAAGCTCACCGCCCAGCTTCTTGAGCTACTGACATCTCTTGTACGTAAAACTTACATCACCTTGCACTTAAGCATAACTATCAGATATTCCTAAATTGTACGAGATGCCCACACTCACCATTTCTTTCTCCTCTCTCTCTCACATACACACACATTCTACAGTTCAAATGACACTACTACTCTGTATTTTATGGTAACTGTATATTCTGCATTTCCTTGCATAGACCTGATTACATAATTTTAGTAAGATATACAAATGTGTAACTAATTTCCATATTTCCATATCTTATGTATACATTCTCAAAATATGTGAGCAGAGTTTTCTAATTTCAACAATTAGAAAATAGGTCAGTACACATTCTCAGTACTGTGCATTTACTTCACTGCCCCACCTACCTCTTCACTTGAGGCCCTTCCCTGGTGCCTACCTGATTGTATTTTCATCTGTTCAGATCTCTTCCACATTCAAAGAGATCTTTTTCAAGTGACTCAACTTCAAGCATAGATCCCTCTGCTCATCCTGTTCTCTTCTCACAGGAGTCTTTCCTTTTCTCACCATCCAATCCTGCTCACCAGGATAATGAAATAAGATATAAGCCTGTTGATCATTATTAAAACGGATCATATGTGCCCCCAAAATACTAAACCTAAAGTCTCAAATAGTACTTAGAACCGATAGATATTCTTTTTGATATAATATACAATGCCCGGATTATTTTGTATCTGCATCTTCTGAAAATTATAAAATGATTTTACTTTAGAAATGTACAGCTGAATTTACTCCGAAGACTATCTACACAGTAGTTTAATCCTGACATCTGGATACATATTAAAAGGTAAATTATAGAAATTCTTTTAAAAGTATAAAAGAAAAAAAAAGTATAAAAGGCATACAGATGTGAGATTACTCAGTGGCTATTACAAATTCTTAAAAATGATAGATAATGGATAATAAAATTTATTTCTCTGTGCCTGGTCCTGTTTTTCTTTTACATAATAATCAATTTGTATTATTTTACAGAATTCATATTTAGCAGATTGGAGACAGAACAGATTCAGTATAATAACCAGTAAGAACTATTAATACAACAACAGGCCACTTCTGTGGAAAGAGAACATGCTGTTAACATCAAGATTTTCACAAGATAAAGAATGTACTATCCATTTTCAGTGCACTCCATTTTCGCTTCTTTCCTTTCCATGTATACTCCGAAAATATTGATAACTGAATTAGGTAACTTCTCTGAAAAACGGATGTGGTAAGTTTATTGAAATTCTGGCTTAGTAAAAGAAAAAAAGCAGAGTCTGTGATTACCCCGTTATTTGGTTATAGGTTTTAATCAGAGGCTTTCATAGCCCTGACAGGTGATGGAAAGACATGTGGGTCACTGGCAAATGGGAGGGGAAAAAGTGAAGTTGTGCTAACGCCAACAAGAGGACCAAGAGGTCAAGACACCTTCTCATGCACTAAGACTCTCATTCAGAGAAGAGCATGTCGGGTTAGAAAACAGGACTCTTGAATCTGGGCCCACTCAAGTATCATTCCTTAACTTTTATTCCAGGCGCCAGTTTGTCCACTTAAACACCCCAAGCCTCACTGAAGCCCAGTTATTTCACTCGCCAGGATCCACAGCTAGTTGAGAGGTTTATTATCACAAAGTGGGCAAAGACCTTGAGAGCTAGAATGAAGAAGAGCAGAAGTGTAGCAGAGAATATTAAGGGGACTTGGGAAGGTGCCAAGACTTTAGAAGAAAAATGTGTGAGCGGACAGGTTTGAAATAGGAAAGAAAAGAACCTATCCTGCCCTGGTGGGTGAAATAGAATGAGAAGGGGCCAGTGAACAAGGAGGAAGGGAATCGACCTAGAAATGGGGCAGTAGAAAGAACACCAGCTAGGAAACCAGAAAATCTCAGTCCGAATCCGGTCTGCCACAGTCGGACTTTAGGCAAATCCCTTTGCCTCTGAGGACTTCCGCTTCTCATCTGTAAGCCTGGACAACACCCGGCTCCCAACCCCAGCAAGGCTCAATTAAGATAACGGACGTGGAAGTCCGGCGGCCAGCACCCAGCGCTCAGGGGGCGCCCACTGAACGTTGGCTGACTCGGAATCTGAGAGCCTCGGCTTCCTGTTCCGGCAACTGGGGCTCTACCACCGGCTGTGGCCCGCGCACGGCGGCGCGCCGGATAAACCGCAGAGAGAGCTAACCGGGAGAATGCGCCGGGCAGCTCCTCCGAGAGGCGGAGAGGCCCGAGTGGGCAGGGGCGCAGGCCTCGCGGGCGAAGGGGAAGGAGAGAGGCGGATACTGCACCTTCCCCCCTCCCCGGCCCCGCCCGGACCGTCCTGACGCGCGCTAAGGAGCGGGCCTGTGCCGCTTCATGCCGCGCCGCCTCCACTCCAGACCCGGCTGCAGCGGCTTCCTTGGCGACGGCGCCCGCAGTAACCGAAGGGGTGAACACTGCACTTAAAGACGGCGGCGGCGGCGGCTCCGGCACTTCCGGTTTCTTGCGTGCTGCCCTCCGACCGGGGAAGGCGCAACGGGGCCAAGAAGGGCGCCGCTCTCTGTTAGATGGGGTTCGCTTCCGACAGTGCCGTCTAGTGGCCAGAGGAGCGAACGAGGGGCGGGAAAGAAACTGCGCGAGAGTGGGGGACAGAACAAATCCAGAAAGCGGCAGTAAATTGCTGGAAATTACAGAAAGAATTGTGGCACGTCTCATCTTTTTTTTTTTTTTTTTTTTTTTGCTTTCGACAAATACATATTGAGTGCCTCTTATGTGCCAGGCGGAATTGTAGACGCTGAGATTGGAACAGGGACCAAGTCAGGCAAAAATCCCTGTCCCTTCATGGAGAAGGCATGGAGATGGAAGGGACCTCCGCCTGGGCACTTCTCGGTGTCTCATTGTATGGTGCAGAGAAACCTGAAAGGACGTCCCTGGTGGTTCGGATGGTAAAGAATCCGCCTGCAATGTGAGTGACCTGGGTTCGATCCCTGGGTTGGAAAGATTCCCCTGGAGAAGGAAATGGCAACCCACTCCGGTATTCTTGCCTGGAGAATTCCGTGGACACAGGAGCCCCGTGGGCTACAGTCCATGGCATCTCAAAGAGTCGGACACAACTGAGCAACCGACACACAAAGAAATCTGAACTTGGAGTCAGAAAGCTTGGCTCTGGTACTAATTAACGACCTTCAGCGGGTTAGTCTCTTTGAGCCGTGGTTTCTTGATCTGTGAAAGTGATATACTAACATCACTTAGTTACAATTAAGGAAAACCATGTGTGTTATACAAATACATAAAGATGAAGAAACTGGGGCTTAGGGCAGGGAAGTGAGTGATCTTGCTCTTAGCAGAACCGGAGGCAGGTCTCTTGGCGGGTAATTTATTTTCTATTCTGCACTACACATTGGCTGAGAGAAAGAGGAAAAAGGAGCCTTGGGAGATGACTGGGAAAGTGCTAGGTGTAGAATGCAACAGTGGACAAGTTGGGCCTTCCCTATATTCTATTATTGCAAGGAACCATTTGTCAGAGGTGTCATGAGGGTTTATTGTAATAGCCCTAATAAAAGGTCCATTTGGGTGCCATGTTCTACTCCTCAGTATAATTATTCACCCTGAACTTAGATGTGAGTTCACTCAGAGTTTTTTTTTTCAGTTGTTCCCCTAAAAGTATAGCCATTTTTTCACTGGACTCCTCTATGAATTTTGTGCAAAAAATTAAAGCAAACACAAAACACCTGAAAGGACTTTGAATGCACATGCTAACAAGATAAACAAAACATCTTCATTTCATTAGTGAAAAAGCTGACTTTAAACTAAAATTCAAATAACTAAGATATCATGGCATCCAGTTCCATCACTTCATGGTAGATAGATGGGGGAAAAATGCAAACAGTGAGAGACTTTATATTTTTGGGCTCCAAAATCACTTCGGACAGTGACTGCAGCCATGAAATGAAAAGATGCTTGCTCCTTGGAAGAAAAGCCATGGTGAACCTAGACAGCGTATTTAAAAGCAGAGGCATCACTTTGCTGACAAAGGTCCATATAGCCAAAGCTATGGTTTTTGCGGTAGTCATGGCATGTGAGAATTGGACCATAGAGAAGACTGAGCGCCAAAGAATTGATGCTTTTGAAGTGTGGTCCTGGGGAAGACTCTATAGAGTTCCCTGGACAGCAAAGAGATCAAAACAGTCAATCTTAAAGGAAATCAACACTGAATATTCATTGGAAGGACTGATGCTGAAGCTCCAGTCCTTTGGCCACCTGCTGTGAAGAGCCTACTCACTGGAAAAGACCCTGATGCTGGGGAAGACTGGGGGCAGGAGGAGAAGGGGATGACAGAGGATGAGACGGCTGGATGGCATCATCAACTCAGTGGACATGAGTTTGAGCAAGCTCCAGAAGATCGTGAAGGACAGGGAAGCTGCCTGCAGTCCATGGGGTCGCAAAGAGTCAGACATGACTGAGCAACTGACAACAACAAAAATGTTTACTGAATCCCCACCACGTGCCTGCCACTGTTCCAAGCACTGGGGCTGTAATAGTGAACAAAGTAGGCAAAATCCTGGACTTTGTGCAGTTTACATTCAAATAAGAGGACAGAGATCTCCTCAAAAGCAAACAAAAACTATATAATTTTATTGATTAAAAAAAAAGACAAACAAGCTCCAATAGATAACCAACAAGGACCTACTGTGTAGCATAGGGAACCCTGCTTAATACTCTTTAATAACCTACACGGGAAAATGACTTGAAAAGGAGTAGAAACATGTATGTGTATAACTTTGCTGTAGATCTGAAAGTAACACAGCATTGTTAATCAACTATATCAATATAAAGTAAAAAAAAAAAAAAGAAAAGAATTTAACAGTAAAGCTCAGAGAAAAGAAAAACACCAACCCCCTCAAAACAAACAAACGCACTCGAGAGAGGTAAAAGGTTTTCTGAAGTCATATGGCTAATGATGGACTGAACTAGATTTGAATTCAGATTTCTTGTTTTCAGTCTTATTTTCTCTTTCTGTGGCAGGGTTAAGGCTCCCCTGATGGCTCAGTGGGTACAGAATCTGCCTGCAATGCAGGAGACACAGGAAACAACGGTTCAGTCCCTGGGTCAGGAAGACCCTTGGAGCAAGAAATAGCAACCCATTCCAGTATTCTTGCCTAGAAAATTCCATGGACAGAGAAGCCTGGTGGGATGCAGTCCAAAGGGTTGCAAAGAGTTGGACAGGACTGAGTGACTAAGCATACATACACATGGCAGGCTTTAAGCCTCTAACCCTGAGAAAGTTGTGGGTGAACATCTCCTTCATGAACCCTGGCCACCTTGTATGTAACCACAAAGGCCTCCCTCCCAGGTAAAAGGGTCAAACCGATACTTACCTGAGTTGTAGCAGGATGCTTTGTGACTTTTCTGAAACTGGAGAGGACCAGGAGCCTCTGAAGACCTTGTCCCCCTGCAGGTTCTGATGAGCTGGAGACTTTCTGCCCCATCCCCCCCCAGCTCCCCAGAATAGAGCTGAGAATATAAAAACCTCTTAGCTGCAGCCTAGAACTGGCTCCTCAGCAGGCAGTTATCCCAGAACTTACATTGCGGTCACCTGGCCCCTTTTGTTTCAGGAGTGTCCTTTTTCATATGTGGGATAAGGATCCCTGGCAGCTGGCACCTTGATGCATTCTTCCCTTTGTGGTATATGAAGCAATAAACTGTCTGAGGCTAAACTGGCTCCTTGCTTTTTTTTTTTTTTTGACCATGCCACATGGCATGTGGGATCTTAGTTTCCCGGCCAGGAATTGGACCCACATACCCCTGCCTTGGAAGGGTGGACTCTCAACCATTGGACTGCCAGGGAAGTTCCTAAACTGGCTCCTTGTATATTTACTGGCTGAATCAGTCAGGTGTGGGCCTTGCCAAACCTGTGTGTGTGTGCTTGACAAAGCCTACTTAACTATATCATAGTAGGCCACACTCTAGGAACGCCTCAGAAAAAGGCAAGTTATCTAGCACACAGGGTCTGAATAAATAGCATGGTGGGGCTGATACAAATCCACCCTTGCTGATCGAAACAAATCAAAAAGCATCATAAAACAATCATATTCTGACATAATGGACAGCAGGCAGGTAAGTGTGAGTGAAATCTAGAGTGGTAAGGCCAAGTGAGAACCCTTCCCAGGGAACCCTGGCTGTGACTTAAAAAAAAATTTTTTTTTTTAATTTAAATTTGGTTACATCAGATATCAGTTGGTTAGGTATTATCGGCAGCCTGGAGGATCTTTTTTTTTTTTTTCCCCTTGTGGTCTGTGGCCTTCTTTCTAGTTGAGGTTGAGCACAGGGGTTTAGTAGCCCCTCTTGCCTCTTTTATAGGATCTTATTCCCAGAACAGGGATAGAACTTGTGTCCCTGCATTGGAAAGTAGATTCTTAACCCCTGGGCCACTAGGGAAGTCTCTGGACTGCATCTTGAAATCCATGTCTATTTGAGGTAATCAAGTCCTCATACAAGTCTGGGCTTCCCAGGTGGCTGAGTGGGAAGAATCTGCCAGCAATGCAGGAGACAAGGGTTCGATTCCTGGAAGAACCCTAAAGTAGGTAATAAACTATTTCCCCTGAAGTAGGTTCTTCCCTGGGTCAGGAAGAACCCCTGAAATAGCCACGCACTCCAGTATTCTTGCCTGGAAAACTCCGTGGACAGAGAAACCTGGGAGGCTGCAGTCCAGGCGGTCACAAAGAGTTGGACGTGACTGAGAACACCTGCAGTTCTGACCTCATGTTCTGGAAAACCTGACCCCTTTTCACACTGGGCCTCTCAGAGACCAACCTGTCTCCCAGTCCTTCTGCATCCACCAGTCCATGATCTTCAGGCAGTGGTACTTTTGCTCAGGTACTCATGGGTCAGAGCCTGGATTTCTGGAGTCAGGCAGTCCTGGGCTCCCATCCTGGATCCTCTCCTTACTAACAGATTGATATCAGGCTTCTCTTTTTATTTCTCTCATCTGTAAACATTCTCCTCCCTCTTATACTTGGACATTTTTTAATAAAGTTTTATTAAAGTATAAAAGGAGATAGAGAAAGCTTCTGATATAGACATCAGGAGGTGGCAGAAAGAGTGCCCCGGAAATTTTTATTTAGTCTGCATATTACTCCAAATATTTTCTGTCTTGAATGTTCAACTGAGGTTAAAAGAGAAGAATCTGAAGTCTTTGTTTTCTAACCCCAAATTTAGAACTCCCAGAAAGCAATGGTAGGTTCATGCTAGCTCCCTCTATTGGGACGGATCAAGGGTTAAAAAGGAAGAAAACAAAAACACAAGTTACTCCCTAGTATCTTACCACTATATAAAGTTGTAATCAAAATTTTTGTATCTTTTATCATAAACATTTTCAATACTGCTAGTTTCTTATTATTTTACGGCTGTATAGTTTTTCTACTGAATTGTCATACCACAATTCATTTGGTCATTCTTAAGTCCCAATGTTTTTCTATGTAACACTGAAAACATCTTCATATATATATCTTTCTTCTTTGAAATTATTGTCTTAGTATAAAATCTCCAAAGGGGAATTACAAAGCCAACCAGCATAAACATCTCCATTTTTCTTGCTACCTCTTGCAAAATTGCCTTTCAAAATGATGCCATGAATTCACATTGCCCTTAGCTACACTCAGCATGAGTGTGCCAATTTCACTAAAACTTTTCTAGCACCGGGCATTATCATCAACATGCACATTTTAAGCATTTACTTTCTAAAACATTGTACTAGATGCTACAGGATACCAAAAGGAGACAATCTGTGTTGCAGGGAGGTTTGCAACCTAGTTCAGAGGTCCCCAGCCTCTGGACCATGGACTGGTACCTCCTGTCAGATCAGCAGCATTAGATTAGAAATAAAGTGCACAATAAATGTAAAG